CAAGTCATGAGGAGATAGTTGGATTTCCACATATCTTATAGGAGACAGATGTTAGTCCATGAAGAGACGGATACAAAAGGCTAGTATAGCATTTACCGACTCATATCATCTCTGTCGTAGATGTGTTATCCAACTGTTAATCAAAAGACGTGTGCACTGCGCAGTGGTCTGCCCAGTTCTACTTTATGCCTGTGAAATATGACCGCTGAACGCAGAAGGTATAAAAAGACTAGCTATGTTTCACCATAGATAGTTGCGTTCTGTCTCTTGTTTTAAGTGGTATTCTGGTGAGAGCTGGCTGTTAGCCAGATTGGTAAACAGTAATTTACGTAAATGTTTATTTCTCAAATATTAGTCATGTGAAAACAAGAACAAAGACTGATAGGAGACTGTGCGTAGGCGGATACAATTAGCAGATAGATGATCTTACATTCAAGAAACAGCCACAAAGAGATGAAAGATTAACTTTCAGCGAGAAACAACCAATCAGAAGACTGTGTTTGTCTGCTAACAATAATCTATAATAATGTACACGAAAATCTATAAATATGTGTTGATTTCCATAATAAACAATCTGTTGCCTGACTCTTGCATTCTGTTGTTACAATATAATGTCGTGAGGTTAGGCGTAGAGTGTTATGTGAGGAAGGGAAGTGAATCAATGAGGTTATAAAGCGATACACATTGATTTCATCATGAACTGACATCGGTTAGAGCGCCACTGTTTGGGACTTTTTATCAGTAAGCACTCCCTAGAGCTCGAACACAGGATTTTCCGGTTACAAGGCGAGCTTGTAGACCATTTAGACCACTAAGACCCAATTCATGAATTCCAACTTCTGCAAATTCACGATATGACGCGACCACTAGCGAATGAATGTCATTAGCGCGTATTCGTCCTCACACCCGACTTTCTGTACCAATCAAATCCCTGCAAACCAACAATTGAATATGTTCATTGAGATGGCTTCAAACACATGCTGCTTTTGACGAACCACCGCCTTCCTCGAAGAGTAATATTAGCTGACATAGGTTCGGATTTGAAAACAGTTGGAGTTGGTCAAACCAAAACTTGTCATCAGTCCATGAAGTCCTTCACAGTTGGTTTGAGCCTGCCATGTAAGGAGGTGTAGACTGCGTGGTTGCGGTAGTCTGGATGCTAAGAATCAATGTCTGGAGAGTAATGGTGATATGACTCAGAATAGTTCTCAATGGTGAAGATGTCTTCATTTTTGTAATCTGCCACAGCCATTGAACTCTAATGTTTTTCCATATTACTATTCTTTCCACCACGCTTACTATAGTTCTTTTTACTGTCTTTTCTCTACCAGTGTGCTTCATGAAGTGTGGCAACTCGGACTGATACACTTCTGTGCAAAGTTTGATATTGAAGCTGTCAGTCGGCAATAAGTCTACTGAAATCTTAGTAGCTACTTTTACCTCACAATCGGCTTACTAAAAACTGTGTCTAGAATAATAAAGCACAGGTAACTTTACAGATAAAAGAAAAAATTTGCTAATGTTAAATTTCCTATCCACTAGCCTTAGTTCATAATCTCAGAACGTTAAATAATGTTGTTTGTTGTGTAATAGCTAGTTCACTTAACTAAGTGTAATAGAGATATATTCTTATAGTTACTTTCTGTTCAGTAGTGACCCTTCCATGCCTTAGTATTCAATAATCATACATTTCTTACACTGAACAGTGTTGGTGATAGTTTGTAGCTACTTTCGAACTTGATATACTGGAATTTTTCATTACTCAGTGTAAGTCATGGAATTACAACCCCCCCCCCCCCCAGAATATATGAATAGTCCCTTAATATGCTATCTAGTTTTCCACTTAGTTTGTGGCCTACAGACTTGAAAGTCACAGTCTTGTCAGAAAGTGCTCTTTGTCTGTTTCATTTTTTTTTTATTCCATTGGGCTCCAAATGGGATGTAGGGCTTTTAAAAGGACATCTCCATTTTATCCTATTCTCTGCAATCCCTTTTAACTAGCTCTACGATTGCTCTGAACCTTTTATTTCCTTCACATACGATCTCCTCCCTGTCAACGTCGAACGAACATCCAACTCGTCGTTTGCCAGTCAAGTTCCACTCCAGGACTCGGAGCGTAAAGTGTGTGTCCAATCTATCTTCATTTCCTTCTACATGTTGTCGGCCCATACGTTCTCGATTGATTCGTTGCTAGAGTTTCGTGTTGCTTATCATCTCCAATCAGCCGGTCATCCGATGTTCGGTATGGATCGAAGGTTGCTGTTGAAAATGTTTTTCATGTCGCGCACGCCAAATTTCTGAACCATATAGAAACGCTGACTTGACTTCAACATTGAAAATCCAGATCGTGTTCTTTGTGTCAAGTACAGCGGATTTCCACTGTGATTTCAGAGTAATGAATGCCTGTCTTGTCTTTCTAATCATTGCTTTAACACCCTCATCTGTGCCGCCTGTAGCTGAAACGATGCCGTCTAGAAAAGTGGAAGAGATGAGTGAATTTCTTTTAGATTACTTCCTTTTATGGTAACTAGTGCTTATTGTTATCGGTTAGGTGCTCTCATCACATAGTTTGCTAGCCGGTCCTAATCCCAGGAAATGAGGGAAGATTGTGCGCAGGACTGACGAACTTACTCCCAAAAATCAATCCAATCACTACATGAAATTCAAAGCACAGGAAATATGAATATTTGTGGAGATTGACCACAATACACGAGATGTGCCTAATAATAATCGATTAGTTACAGGATCTCATCATGAACTGACATTAGTTAGAGAACCATTGGAAAACCCAGGAGTACTGGACAGCTGTTTCGTCCTAGTTCGGGACTCCTCATCAGCACGAACCCACCGTGGTTCGAACCCAGGGCATTCTGGTTACAAGGCGAGCTCGTGAACCGTTAAGCCACTGGGACCCAATCCAATGGTCCATGAATTCTAACTTCTGCCAATTCACGATATAGCGCAACCAGTCAACCAAATCTCCACAAACCAACACTTGAATATCAATGAGATGCTCACTGGCGACTGGCCCTATTCAGGTAGGTAGTTACCTGGGGTTCTGGTGGGAAGTCGTGTCCAGTAGGGTGCAGCAGGTCAGGTGTGAGGACAAATACTCGCCGAAGATTTGGCTAGCGGTTGTGCTTTAACGTGAATTGGCAGAAGTTAGAATTCATGGACCATTGGATAGGGTCCCAGTGGCTTAATGGTCTTCGAGTTAGCTCGCCCCGGGTTCGAACCCCGGTGGATGCGTACTGCTAAAGAGTCCCAAACTAGGCTGACGAAACAGCTGTCCAGTACTCCCAGTTGGTTTTCCAATGGTTCTCTAACTGATGTCAGCTCATGATGAAATCCTGTAACCAATCAACCAAATCCCTACAAACCAATACTTGAATAATCGATTAGTAAAGTTGAACGCGAAACAGTTTAAGTCTTCCAACAACTAGAGTGGAAGACAACTTTCTATACGTTACATATCAATTACATGTTAACTGTACTTGATTATCCGTCAATCAGGTTGTTAACATACAAAGATCTAATGCACATTTTTCATTACCCAAATACAAAATTGTATTTCTATTTGCACTGCTTTAATAATAAGAACACATTTCTTTATTGACTTCTGTCTAGCAATACGAAAAAGGTAAAGTGACTATCGACGTAAAAATATGGTTTATTATGTACATTTTATGAAAATACAACCTAGAATAATGTAAATCAGTAACAGTCACTCTATCATGAATCTATATTTTCATTAACAGTTTGTTTTGAAGACTGTACAATACTTATATTCCGTTTCCAAGTTTTACCACCAACACCGATTTGTGCCTCAGGATTCGATGGATGACATGGTGTTAGACTGACATCTGCGACGAAAGCAACAGATTGTGAATCGACATTTTCTGGATTCAACTGAATTATGGTTGGTTTTGTTACAGAATGATTCACATTTGTTGATAGTGCAGTTGTGTTTACTGACTGATAACACTCAGAATCCGATAGATAAAGATAATATCCACGTGGATTTGTTTCATTGGCAGTTGAAACAACAGTTGTATTATCATCTTGATGAGATGGACATTCTTCATTGGATTCAGTTGTATTCGAATGTTGGACATCATTGACTGAAGTGCTGTTTCCTTTTGAAGCCGAAGAGGATGATGCAATTTCCTTTTCTGTATGAACCAAGCGAATGTGTCGTTCTAAATTGAATCTTGAAAACAGACATAAATAGATAACAGAATTTAATATATAACTTACATATCCAACGTTGAGAATAGAACAACTTAGGTGTCTAGATTGAAAGAAAAAATCTCTCAAGCTATATCAGTCTCGTATGGCACGAGTATCTGGTGAGAACACTGATAATTAAGTCTTAAAACGTCCTATTTGACTAAGAACAAGTGTTGTAGCAGTTCAGATAATCGATAAATTAAGCTAAATTATCTCTGGTTAACGCATAAACGCTTGATTAAAATATTATCGAGTGTAGATATTGAAAATAGTCAAACAGCATTATTCAGTTATACGGGTGTGTAGAAAATTTGTTGAAAACAGTTGCAAAAACACTTGAAGATTAAACAGCAGTTTCATTCAGGTTTGGAAGACACAACCAGCGACCCAATGAATGATCGAGTCAAGTCATAGAGGAAGCACATCAATCTTCCATTGTTGTATTGAAATCACATGGCCTATAATCTTCAACTGCTCTCAATCTGCAGCATAATTGCAACAAATCACTTAATATACCGGAACTATGATCAAACGACCGTTCAGTACTCCATGGTTTTTCAAGTATTCTTCATTTATGCTGAAATAAACTAACAAAATTATGTACTACCTCCTCAACCAAGATTAATTACGAGTAATTTTGTTCCCTAATTGAATTACGAATGACCAGTTGCAGCTGGATAGTGAGTTGTATAAGGAAGCTAATAGGGCAGTCTTATTGAACACACTGTCTGTCTGGATTCAACATAGAACTTGGCACCGAAGTGCAGCAGTTCCACTTGCCACGTTCCAAATAGCACACAAACTTAGACAAGAAAATGAGTGAAGAGAATCAATAGAGTTTTGACAAGTATAAGAGTGAAACAGAATGAGTAATGGTAGAAAGGAATATGAAAGGTTAAAGAGACTGAATACATCTGCGTAGGCCATTGACAACGATTTTGAGCCATGTCACCTAGTGTCTCCAGCAATTGATTCTTAGAGTCCCGAGGGCCCCAACCTGGAAGTCTGTATCTCCCTACCTGACTCAGTTTAACTGTCAAGGATTTCATGGATTGATACCATGCTTTTGTTTGGCCACGCACGCGAAATTTTTGTTTATTTTGATTTACAGCTTGATTCCACACCGTATTTTCAGTACAAGTGTGGGATTTTCAGCATGGATATCGGTAGCCCAAATTCAGGCCGACCATAGATATCGGGTGTGCGCCGGCAGGGGATCGAACCCCGGACCATGTGCATGGTCGGCGAGAGTCCTAACCACTGTGCCACCGACGCACATGGCCTATAATCCCCAACTGCTCTCAATTTGCAGCATAATTGCAAAAAATCACTTAATATACCGGAACTATGACCGAAAGACCGTTCAGTACTCTATAGTTTTTCAAGTATTCTTCAAAACGATATTTATTTATTAGTTTTAGGCATTAAATTAAACCATTTAGACTCACCCAGTGATGGCTTCATTGTGCGTATTAATTCCGCTGCCGAATTAATACGCAGAATGAAGCTATCACTGGGTGAGTCTAAATGATATTTATTTATGTTAAAACAAACCAATAAAAATTATGTACTAACTCCTCAACCAAGATTAATTAGGAGTAATGTTGTTCCCTAATTGAATTACAAATAACCGGTTGCAGCTGGATAGTGGGTTATTCACATGTCGTATAAGAAAGCTAATAGGACATTCTTATTGAACACACTGTGTAACGCTATATCCATTTGCATATCACACCAACTAATCAAACTGTCTTTTCAAAAATGATACGATTGACGATCACCTATTTCCATTGAATCTCAAGGCTAAATTTGACAGTCATCTTCTACTACCTACCTACCTACACTACTTGCTTTACTCATTCCACCTTGATACTTACTACCATGTGTAAACACAGGCAAACTACCTTGGATTAAATATCACTGAATTAAAACAAAAATACAAGAGTTAGACAGATGCTGTAACTTAACAAACTGCTTGCGTATGCAATCAACGTAAATGAGATAATCCATTCTATCAAACATTATGTTAGTGTTTATGTTGAACGAGAATCACACACTAAAACTACGGTATTATGCATATTATAGTTTGGAATTCCACACATAATGTATACATATATTATACGTTAATAATTACATACAAGGTGTCCTTATACAGATTTCACTGAGTTTTTCAAGTCTCAGCCCTATAAACAAACAAACGCGTGATAAAAAGTTCTCGTTTACATTGAAGGCGTAGTATAAACACAGGGGCGAATAAAACTGTTCATTGTAGAACAAAATGAATATTCATTATTTTTTCACTTAATAAGGAATTCTACAGATTGATTGATGGTGTGGGGCTATAGGGTCACCAATGGGACCAATCTCTGGCGTAAACGTGTTATCCGGCTGACTATCGACTAAAGGGCGTGTATACTGCTCAGCAGTCAGCTCCGTCCCCCCTTATGGCTGTAAGACCTGGTCCTTGAGAGTGGAAGACATGAAAAGGCTAGATGTCTTTGATCATAGGTGTCTGCGTTCTATCTCCCGTGTGAAGTGGTATGATACGGTGATCAATATCGACGCTGAGCATCGGTCGAGTGTTAGGTAAAGAGGGGAAATCAATCGACGAGGCTGTGAAGCCAAATCGACTGAGATGGTTAGGACATGTGTTACGCATGCCTAGCCATTGCCTCTCTTGACCGACGGGCAATGTTAGCTGACTGACATATAATGAGGTTGGAAAAGAGCTAGTGGTAGTCAAACCAAAACATGGCTTCATCAGCCAATGAGATGCACAACAGTTCGTTTAAGCCACGTAGGAAGATGTAGACTTCTTGGTTGGGGTCCCCGGGACGGTAAAAACCTATGAAAGCTGGAGACAATCGGTGAGATGGCTCAAAACCGTCCTCAATGAATAGCGCAGATGCATCCATTCCTTGTGACTTATAATTTACAATGAAACTAGATTGTTCTTCATTATTACTATTCCTTTGTTTCACGCCTCTGTTTACTGTCTATATTATGCATTTCTCCTACTTTCTTCTCTTGCTTTGTATGCTACATGGAGTGTGGCGACTTGAACTGCTGCACATCGGTGCAAAGTTCTGTGTTGTAAACAGACAGACAGACAATGGGACCAATGCCAGCTGGTATTTTCCTTGCATAATTAGAAAAGAGGCCGCTAAAAGATGTAATTGGTAAACTAGAATTCTATTGTCGTTACATGGATAATACGTTTCTGGTTATCAAAAATGAGAATGAAGCAAACAACATCCTTGACGAATCTAATAATGAGCCTTTTGCAATCAATTTTACCATTCTTAAACACCCATATGTGACTAGGAAAGAGGGTGGCACAATCAAAAAGGAATATATCTAGACAACGTAAAACGTCGACTTGTTGGTATACGCATTTCTTGAGTGATTAGTATGTTTGTAATTTAACAGCAATGTAGTAAAGTGTTTGGTTCACAGATGTAGAGTAATGGACTTTACAAACTGTCTTTATGATGGGACTCAAGGTTATTGGGGAATCTACTCAGTAAAAATGGATATCCAGAAAAATTTATGATAAAAATAAGAACATGAAGCCAAAACAAGCTGGTATGTTAATAGCTTCGAAGAAGCCCGTGTTCATAGAGGTTAATTTAAGTAAAGCGCTTAAATAATGCAGTAAGAAGAGCATTCAATGCAGCAGGAGTACACTGTCTCTTCACAACCACTCCAACTTCATGTGATGGAAGTAAGAATAAAGTACTTAATTTCGTTTCCTCTACTTTTTTCTATCAGTCTGACTGCTCCTGTGGAGTCAGTTACATTGGGTGTACAATTAAGCATCTTTATCATCGGGTTTCACAATAGCCAAGCTTTATTCGTAGCTCCATTTTGGCTCATCTTTTAGACGCTGAACCCAAATTCGAAGTTAATAGGGCTTTTAAAGTTATCTAGCATGTTCTCATTAACTCTGATTTCGCTTTGCAAATTCTTCTTTAACATACAGATGTATCCATTGGAATCCATTTGAAGAAGCTAAAATTATGTGTTTAGAATAAGCTCGTACAGATACACTTTCCTTATATTGGCCATCATTATTGCATTGTATAAATCTGACGATTACCCCTTCCCTTCAAAGCTTTTACAAGCTGCCACTGTTTTAACTATCTTTAAATGTCGCATAAATTTTCTCACTAATTTTATCAACTACTCAACTTGGTATCATACTTTTATGCATCTTATCACTTACATATGCTTTTTATCTGTGATTCTATTAGTCTTAACAATTCGATATTAATTTTTTTGAAAACATCAATGTCGCAAACAATAATTACTTTTTAAATACTAAGTATAAACACCTATTGTAAAGAGCTAGATGAGAAAGTTATCGAAATGAACATCCTTAGTTCAATCTTCCTTTTTCGTCCTCCAAATGTCCATATGGGAATTTTCGTAATATTGACCTACACTTTCAGCATACTTTGTAAACAAAGAAGTGTTATATTATTGATTTAGAATTTTCTGTGCAAAATATACCAAATGTCATATTCAGGTCTATTTCATGAGGTACCATTATGCTATTAAAACGCGAACTTGTGCGTCGGTAGCACAGTGGTAGAATGCTCACCAACCACGCTCATAGTTCGAGGTTCGATCCCCGGCCACCGACGCACTCCTCCATTACCTCGCTAAGCCAATAATAAGACTGGTAAAGAGGGAAGGCTGGGTATGAAGGTTAGCAATGCCACCTCGTAAAAATAAACACCACTGCTACCGCAACTTCAAGCCTCTAGACTGAAGCCCTATGTTTTGTCGAGAACGTAAAGGAATTTAAAAAAACGCGAAGTTAGTACATTATAGCCGCCAAGAGATACGACACACAAAATCTCATAGTTTGTGCCAGAGCTGGGATACTGTAAATACGCGCCCAAATAGAAGCAGGTGGTTATTTTAAGGGACCACCCTCGACCCTTTGACTTGATGTCTGATCCATAAGGCATTGGAGAAGCGTCAGCAGCTACGTTCTCATACTTTTAGATGACCGAAACAGGTTCATACGCCATTTGATCCAATCGGATTCTGGGAGCCTATGTACACTATAACTTTGAAATCAAGCTTTTCCAGCTTCCCTCGATGGACCTGCATGTCTACCAGTCTGGTCGCAGGCACCAGGCATTCTCATTCTCCCTTTCACTTTTGTGAGTTACACCCCAGCTGCATGAAGGCAATGAATAGGATTCACCTGACAGAGGCTATGAACACACGGTCACATGAGAGTTTTTCGCGAGGGAGACTAAAGTCTGACCACTCGGCTGCATCAGGTCGTGTTTATGGAGCATTTCATGAGATAATGGTCTGTCTGTTTTCGACATAGAACTTTGCACATATGTGCGGCAGTTCAAGTCGCCACACTCCATGTGGCACACAAAGCAAGAGAAGGAAGTAGGAGAAATGCATAATAATGACAGTAAACAGAGGTGTGAGACAAAGGTATAGTAATAACGAAGAACAATATAGTTTCATAGCGTATTATAAGTCACAAGGAGTTGATGCATTTGTGCGAGCCATTGAGAACGATTTTGAGCCATATCACCGTCCCGAGGACCCCAACCAAGAAGTCTACATCTTCCTACATGGCTTAAACGAATTGTTGTGCATTTCATTGACTGATGAAGCCATGTTTTGGTTTAACCACCACTGGCTCTTTTCCAACCTCATTATATGTCAGTCAGCTAACATTGCCCGTCGGTCAAGAGAGGCGATGGCTAGGCATGTGTAACACATGTCCTAACCATCTCAGTCGATTTGACTTCACAGTCTCGTCGATTGATTTCCCCTCTTTACCTAGCACTCGACGCCTAACCTCAATATTGCTCACCTTATCATACCACTTCATGCGGGAGATAGAACGCAGACACCTACGATCAAAGACAGCTAGTCTTTTCTTGTCTTCCGCTCTCAATGGCCAGGTCTCACAGCCATAAAGGAGGAAGGAGCGGACTGCTGAGCAGTACACACGCCCTTTAGTCGATAGCTAGTCGGATATCACGTCTACGCCAGAGACGGCGTAAACTGGCATATGCGAAACTAGCCCTCTGTATTCGTACTGAGATTTCGTCAGAGATCAACCCATTGGGGCTGATGGTACTTCTCAAGTAAGTGAAGCGGTCAACGTGCTCTAGCACTTCACTTCCTATTTCTAATCTAGGGGTCGGCGTAGTCCAATCCTGCAACATCATCTTACATTTTACAGGGTAGACTTAATTAAGATAGAAAAAGGTTCTAAATTCAGTTGATATTCAACAAATACAAATCAGGACTAATTTAAAACCATTAAAGAGAAAATTCATTCAAATACAGTAAGGTAAAGTGGAGATAGTTTTTTTTAAAGAAGTACTTCAAATCAGACCATACTTTTTTCTGTTAAAATAATGTGAATTTTAAGAAATACTCTTGACTATACCAATAAACGTTTGCATTAATGCTTTTAAGGTAGGCGGTAAATTTCAGAAGAATCGAATTTGCATTATTTATTTAATTGCCATTATATGAACATGAGAAAAATGCCAAACGAAAGGAAAGGCTGACCTGGTTAGCAAGTATTACTGTTTCGTGTGAGAGTGGTTTTTCACTACCCATATCAATTAGTAGTACATACTGCAATGTGTGCTACTAACAAGAATTTGTAAGTAGTATGTCAGCGACATCATCTGCAGAATCTTAAATAGCACAGCAATACATTAACTTGCAAATAGGGAGAAGGTAGATGGTTTTAAAGCGGCATAGAAAGCATGAAATGAAGGAAAAAAGAAGCAGATTATGAATACTTCCTCGGTGTGCCTATTGCAGCTACCTTTCCTCTCAATAGGTATCTAGCTGCTTTCACCTGCCACAATAAACAGTTATAGTTGCTGGGATATGCAGCCTGATGACTTCTCCGTAAACTACGACGTCAATAAATGGATCTAGGACTGTTCATCAAATGTAGAAAATGTACGGCGAAGTAGGTTCGTTGACTGCAGTACCAACTCTAATGGGTCTCTCTGTCTGGTGTCTTCATTATACTGGACTGCTGCTTGGTCTATCTGTCACTCAGGCTACTGAACTCCAAAACACAAGGCATTTTCACAGAAATTCCCAATTCCCCTAAATGCCCTACGCTATCACTAGGAGCTTTCACTCAAGCTCTCAAAAGCGATGCTAGCAACACCATCTTCGACGTCGACTCCTGGATGCCCACTAACTCAGCAACGGCTAAAAGATTCTTCAAGAAGCAAAGGGTGTTTTGCTTTTTGAAAGTTATAGGCAATGGTGTTTCCATCTGATCGAAGAGAGAGACAACCTTATTTGGCAGTGGAGTGTTTATTTCACAAAATGACGCGCAGTGACAACAAAATAGAGAAACATTTCTTTGAGACCTTGATTTTCAAAAATTATTCGTATTTTGCTGTTTTTTTCCTTTATTTCTTCTCTTTCCAACTTAATCTATCGTTCTGTGATTCAAGATTCTTACAGAGAACATCACTAATATACTACTTACAATTTTTTGTTAGTAGCACACGCCACAATACTGTCTTGTTCAGTGAATCTCATCAACAAATTGATAAGAAGCCTATACATAAACTTATTCCCACTCTACACTACTGATTAATTGTTGTCTCTAGGCTTTAACATTCCAGGATCTGTACACTGGACTAGGGTGCCAACAAGATGAAAGTTAAGGGAAATAAAAGGTTATTGACAGATCTAGACATATATAGATGTATCATAAAACGGGAATAAAAGAGCAAAAAGAATTTTTAAAAGTGTAATACAATTAGGGGGTTACGCAATATACAAAGTCATCTACGTCACTTGGATTCCTGAATCACCGATTTCGATTATCTCAGAGGTACAACTCCAATCGACAGTCAAAGACCACATAAAATAGTGTACTGTCTTCAACTGGAAACTAAAACTCTGAATTGCAGGTATTCTGATATCTCTTTCTTTTTCATTTTCGTAGGGTTAAGAATATTTCCGTAGAACTTCCAACATCAATCACGAAGTCATTTTCTGAGGTGATTCACATTTTAATGAAGTATTAGAGCTTCATATCTACACGTTCTTAATCATAACCTCAGATAGGAGAACATACTAGTTTGAAGAATATTACATTTATGGTTCTCTTTAGATAAAATTCGAATACATGATGTGAAAACAACTAATTCCGAGTTTTATATATATACATTCCTAATGAAATAAATCATAAAAACGAATGTACAAAGCAAACGCAAGGGTAATATTTGCGGCGAAAATAGAACTTACTTATTACTGAGATGTTTTTCGCAAATAGGACATGATAAACCAGCATTCTGATTGTGAACTTGATTAAAGTGTTTAGTTAAATTACCCTTTGTACTAAATAACGCATCTGACAAAAATCCAAATGAACAAGTAAGAAATGAAGTTAAAAGCTCCGATCATAGGTTTAAAAAACACTTATACCAATCAATAATAACAAATAATTTTTAAAAAATATGAAGAAAACAAAAGAAAATTTGAGCAAGGAATACTGTTTTCGATAATTTCCCCTTCCGGCTATACATCAGTAAGATAATAACACAAAGCCTAAGGAATGCGGTAAAAAGAGAATTCGGTGCTACTGAAGTATGCTACGTCTTCAAAAGCAGCCCTATTTAGCGTTTGAGAGTTGAAGAGAAACTACCTAATTTCGCTTCTTCCATGTATAACCATCAATTTGACTGCCCCTGTAGAACCGAAAAATTAGGCGTGTTTATCGTCGGATTTCGGGACACCATCCTGAGTGGTTAAGTAAGGGAGAAACAAAGTCCATTCATAATTCTTTACTATCTCATCTCGTAGATACACAACACAGGATTGATGTAAACAAGACCTTCAGAGTCATCTAACGTATACCAGTTAAGTTTAATTTTACCTCAAGAGTTCGGCTGTTACAAATTATTGAGGCCATTGGAATCTACATTAAGAAGCCTAATCTATGTATCCAAAAGAAACTGGCTAAGACGCTTCCCTTACCTTGGTCATCGCGGCTTTAATTATCCTTAATTTTTTGTAGATATTTCCTTAAGTTTAATTCTATTTGATATTCTATTTACTATTACATTTTTATGCTCATTGTAATCTATGCATCTTTCTTGAACTGTGATTTCACTGATATTAACAAATTGATATTATTTAAAAAACAACAATACTGTTGATGACGATTATTCTAGAATATTCTATGTATATAAACACATTGCGAGATGGTGGCGCTATGTTGTGAATTGGCAGAAGTTAGAATTCATGGGCTGGTCATTGGACCGGGTCCCAGTGACTCAATGGTCTACGAGCTCGCCTTGTAACTAGAAGGTCCTGGGCTCGAACCCTGGCGGTGGGTGCGCACTGATGGAGAGTCCCAAACTACGACGAAACAGCTCTCCAGTACTCCCAGGTTTTCCAGTGGTTCTCTAACCAATGTCAGCTCATGATGAAATCCTCCATATATATATATATATATGTAGTTGTAGTGCAGGAATAGGAAATTACCCAGAAGAATATTTTTCGCTTAAATTTTCAACTGTCTTTTAAATGTCTGAATGAATATTTTCGCTATATTGAATTATGAAGAACTAGTGAAGGTTTTAGCAAGCAGAAACTGTCAGGGACTGAGATCTTTATCTTCATTCCTTTGTGTTCCAAGGGGAATTGTGGCTTCAAATTTGAGCTTTCAAAGTTTCAGTAGCAATGGTGTTGTCTCTACAGAGTGTGATAGCTGGCTAGCTCCACACCAAACCTTCCCTCTTTTCCAGACTTATTACCACCAGTAAAGCGAGGTTTAGGAGTGTATCGGCCGGGAACCACACCCCAGACCAATGTTCGTAATTGGAGAGCACTTAGCCACTGAACCACTGGCGCACACAACGTTATCGGCAGAAAGTCTTGAACCTAAGTTTCATGCTTATTGGCACTCATCTGCAACCTTGAGGGAAATGATATCTACTCTGAGATTCGAACCCGCGTCACCCAATGTTGCAGTAAGAGACGCTACCAGTGAACTACTTCAGCCCACAAACAACAGCTAGGTGAGGCGAAAGCATACAACATAATAAAATCCTCTGCGAGCCTCCTACACAACTATCAGGCGGCATAATATCCCATATCTCCTGGCAGATCTGGCAACAAAAATTCATGAGGACACCATAAGAGCCAAGTATCCCACAAATGGAGATGGCGGAAAATATATTATAAATGGAGATATTATAAATTCCGAATAAGCGATGAGTCGAACACTTTAATATCAAGCTACGACAGAACACCGTTGTAATTTCACGAGTATAAGACAAAATAAGCAGGAGAAAATCCGGCATTATTTCAAAAGCCACATATATATATACGCATTCACAATCAAAACAGCTCATTTTTTTGACAAATAACTATCCAGTGCTGCCTGGTTTTAAGTAATCCTCCAACTGATACTGGTTCTTGACGAAATACCTAAATTGAAATTGATTCAAATCCCTGCAAAGCTCATAATTTAAATGTGAATCTTCACCTTAATGTCAGATACTGGATGTATCTATTAAAGTTATAATGAGAAGTAGTAACCAGTGGGGTCCACGATGTCAATGTGAAGTAGATCCTCATCCACTATATTGGTTGACGGTAGCGCTAAATTACGAATCGATAAAGTAAGAATTCACAGATCACTAAGTTCCAGTCGAAGTGGTCAACCCAGTAAGCTGAAGAGCTTGAGTTCAATGCCTAAGGGGGCCGTGGTTGCGCACTGATGATGAGGCGACAACCACGAAAAGGCAGCTGTCCAATGCTGCCTGGTTTTCAATGATTCTCTAACGGAAACACTGAAAATAACTATCAGTTTTTAATTCTTTTTTCCTCTTCATTGAAAGTATCGTTTAATGTTTATGAAGAATGAAGTTACTAAAACTGATAAGTAGTATCCACCAGTAGTATAAACAGTTTCCCATTAAAAACGTAGGAATCTAACCCCTGGTTACAATAAAATGACATCTCCAGGATACAAAGACTTTAGGTTCCAAGAATCAAAATGTTTCAGTCTCTCCACAAAACACATTACGTCAAATACTACTGATTCACTGAGATAAGTAGTTGTATACCACTCATCATATCAACCAGTAGTGTTTGCCAGCCGCATCAATGTGATGTAGACACCAGACAGCCGTTTCGACCGCTTGGAAACGTGCTTATCAGTGGTGTACCAGTTTGACTAAACTCAAAAAGGTGAATCAGTTGGGACCACCCGATTTCTGACTGGCTACCTGGAAGGAATGGTGATACCATAAATCTCATTCACAATTTGCAAATTATTTCGCGATTTCTACAGTTCGACATGATTATTTCACCATAGTTTCCTTTGGTAAGTGAGATTATTAAGATCAAAATATGTAATTTGCTTGCTACTATAAATTATGATTATTATTCCCTTGCGTTCCCAGTGGAGCATAGGGCTTCAACAACACATCTCCACTTTGTTCTATATTCTACTGTTCTCTTCACCTAGGCCCACGGTCGCCCATAATCTCTCATCTCTTCTTCACACGACCTCCTCTATGCTACCGTAGCACTGACGACACACCCATCTTTTCCCATTTGGATTCCACTAGAGGGCCTGGCGTGCGATATTATTCGGCAGCCTCCTCAATGCATGCCCGATCCATCTCCACTTTCTCCGACTTTTTTGTTGGGCCATCAGCTCTTGGTTGGCTTGTTCCCATAGTTTCTTATTGCTTATTCTTTCCGGCTGGCCATTTGATCTTCAGTATGAAGTCAGGTAAGCTGGAAGGTGTTGATGAAAGTCTGCAACCTGTTCGAAATCCTTTTCGTGACACGTAGTGCAAGTTTCTGACCCGTATAGAAGAACCAACTCCACATTGGTGTTGAAAACGGGGATCTTGTTTCTTATGCTGGGAGCGGAATATTTCCAAACTGGCTTCAGATTGATAAAAGGCTATCTTGCCTTTCCGATTCTGACTTTGACGTCTCCGTCCGTTCCGTCCGCCTGTAGTTGAAACGATGCTTCCCAGATAAGTGATGGAGGCAACCTCTGTTGAATCACTTCCTTTGATGGTGATTGGTACTGGTTGTTGTTGTTGTTGCTGTTGACTGGTTACCTTCATCAACTCCGTCTTTTCTGCGTTCACCTGTTTTCGCTGCCTGCCTCTTCAGCCAGTTTGTTAGTTTTCGCCTGCAAGTCTTTGAGTTTGTGTGACATTAGACATATATCATCTGCGAAATCCAAATCCTTTAGAGTCTTCTTATCGACCGTCCAGCGTACTCCAGTCCACCACAATTAAGAATATCATCGTGGGTGATAATAGGCAGCCAGCCAGCTTGTCTTACTCCTGTATTCACTTCGAACGGCTCGCTGAGTTTCGCGTTGTGGTAATCAATAAAGCAAACACAATCGTATCACGCATAGTTTAGATCACTTCTATCTGACTAGCAAACACTACTACTGTTTAGTGTGAGTAGTGTCCAACTACTCGTCGCAATGAATCAGTAGTATATAGCGTGATGCATTTATGTTTGCTTTCTTGACAGTCACTTATAGTATCAGGCCAGTCATATTTTGTGATCTGAATAATCTCGCTTTCAAAATAAACCTTTGATGAAATAGTGACTTTGAACTGTGAAAACTGCGAAATAATTTGTAATTTGTGAATTCAGTTTATCTCCTCATAATTCCCTGACCACACATTGTTTGCCGGTGAAGGTTAACTAGCATATACTATATACATATATAAGAAATATCTTTTAATTAATCAAGTGTAAAGACATTAATCACACCTAGAGGATTATTCATTGATTCAGATATGCTTGAGAACAAGTAAAATATTATATGTGACTAATGATAAAAGACTACTTGAAACTTACTGCACTCTTGACAAATAAATTTTCTGCCTCGATGAACATTCTTTAAATGTTGTTGATATTGAGCGGGTGTTTTAAAACCGACGTTACATTTCTGTAGACCGAAAAAATATATGTATGCAACATAGAAAATAAATGAATTGCCAAATAGATGCAGAAACATACAGGATTAGTAAAAACTCACAGAAAGGCATCTAAAGCATAGTTAGATGTTACTTGTATTAATACTGCAACAAACTGAATATATACGTAAGTTTAAACTCCAAACTGATTAATGACTGTTATCTGAAATGATAATAAGTTGTGAATCAAAACCTCCTCTGTTGAAGTCCATGCAAAATCAAACTACTATGCCTCAGGAAAAAAAAATAAAACCAGTAGAAAATTTAGTGAATTTTCAAATTTCAAGTTTGATCATAAACTGATTTTTGTTAGATGATCATTAAAAGCCAAGCAGTACTGAATAGTGACTTCGTCCTAGTTTGAGGCTCATCAGTCGTACGCACACGTGACCCACCCCCACCACCGGGGATCGAACTAAGGACCTTCAGTTTACAATGTCAGCCAATGGGATGGAACCAAATAGGCACTTCATGAATCCTAACTTCTGTCAATTTGTAACATATAGCGCTACCGCTTACCACTGTTACCCGTGAGTACTTGTCGTCACATGCGAATTGGTGGATACCACTGGTGTCCACCTCTCACTAGAACTTCAGACTATTTCACCCTGTTGTCATTAGTCATTTGTGGGCGACAGATTAATTTTTGTGTGTTGGTTTCCAGGAACGTGATTGATCTCACGTTTGGTCACAAATTGATTTCAGTTGTTATTTTTTCACGAACTGACACTGGTTAAAGGACTACTGAAAATGGGAAAGTAGTGAATAAGAACTTCAGACTATTTGCCCACAATTCAACAGCTGACTTCAACTTATCTCAAGAATTAGTCCCGTGCCTAAACGCTGTAGCCAATATTGCTACTGTGAGTGTCAATCAGTCATGTATTAGGCATCCAGTTCTCTTTGGTTTTCAGGGAATATTTTAAGAATCTAATGTTTACTTATAGAGAAATCCCAGTAAGAAAAACACCTAATTAACAGTTACCCTCGAAAGAGTAGACAATCGAATCCGACCTTGATGCTTTGAAAAATGAATTATGAAGTCCCACTACTAGTTGAAACTCTTAAGTTACGCTTATGGAAACCTAAGAAGCGTAAAACAAATTGCAAGTATTTGTAGCTCATGAAAGGTGTGATTAATGCGAGGTAAGTTAATTCATAAAGGGAATTCCAATGGTACATTAATTTTCCTACCTCTAAGGAAAACAGTTACTGATATGGCTCAAAGCCGTTGTCAATAGAACAGGTGCACGCATCATTTTAATCGCCCAACTCTACTAAACCTTCATGTTTTTTTTCATGTTACTGTCCATCATAGTTGTTTTCAGTCTCTTTCTCTCCACTTTTCTCTACCTTTATGTGCCACATAAAGTGTGTGCTATGACGGAAACTAGAACATAGTAGACTATGAGCGAATACTAACTAAATGCTCTTGCTAAACTGTTCTAATCGCACGCCAACGACAACAATAACGCCGTCCGGCCATTAAAGACAGAGGAGAAAACTGGACGTTGATAAAAGAGCTTCTACTGTCTCGAACAACAGTCAAAAAAGGTTGACAGAGCTTGCATATATATACATATATATGTTTGAAATGACCCTGAGAAGCATATATGTCATTGATAAATTTAGACAACGAACAACCAATAGGATTTAAAAGGTTATAAGTAGGGTGAGAGGAAATCAGGTTATAAATCAATAAGTGGGGGTGAGCGTAATACAAACAGACATGTAGAAATACCATATAGAAAATTAGGTCTATATAGCAGCATGACAGCTTGAACTAGTGCACTTCTGTGCAAGGTCCTATTTTGGAACTCAGCCAGTCAGTCACACCGTATATATCGTACATTCACTTGATAGCTCGACATAATACTCAATGGCAAAAATCAAGTCTAACGGGTTTATTATAGAACCAGAGCACTTAATTTACACGTCTCAAATTTACGTTTTATTATTGTCTTAAAGAATCCCATTGAAAATTATCATCAACAATCGAGGATTAATTTGCACCGGAATATTTAAATAGAAGTCTTTTGACTTCAATCTACAAATCATAATCAATATTGCTCCGTGAGAAAGTCAACTATAAAAGAGAGAAGACCAGTAGTTCAGCGAAAGCTAAGTCAAATCATCAGAGTTTTTATCGTTATAGTAGAAGTGACTGAATAGTTTTCTTTTGTATGCATAGTTCTGGTTCCTCTAACTGAACGACTAAGGCTTCTGCAATGCAGAGAAGACGGAAACGTATTGTCTTTGGCAGGTTGTTCTTCACTTTGTAGATTGCTTTGAAGGAGGCGTTTGTTGAGATGGGATGACCAGTGTTGACGAGATGTTCGATTATTGCACTCCTTATACGGCCACTACTTCCTTTCTGCAGCCACACTGGGTAGTGCTCTTTGACCTCTTTTGACAGGATCCTTTTATCAGGACATCAAACGACCAATGTACCTGGCTCCACAGCCACAGGTGAACTGATATATGCACATAGAAGTGGTCAGGTGCCAGATCTTGCCCTTCGGATCTCTGCAGATCAGCGGGCGACTGGAGAACACTACTCTCAGTGTTTTCACGAAGAAAGTTCTTCTTGAAGAAGTGAAAATTCTCCTCCTAAGGACATCACTGAGTAGGTCAGTTTTGAAGTCAAGGTTCATATAATGTCTCATTTTTGGCACGGATTTTCTGTTTGGTGCTTTTGTCTATCCGTTTTGATATCCATTTTGTATGAAGATTTCTTTCAAGAATTGTAGTTCTTCTTCCAGCATATTAGAGCTGCAGAGGCGTCGGACGCGAATAGCAAGAGATCTAATTAGGTTTCTTTTTCAACTGATTGGTGCCCAGCTGTAGAAGCTTGTCAGCTGGTCGTTCCATGTGGGTTTCCTATGGATGGACTATCTTAAAATTCCGTCAGCTCTTCTGGTAAGTTCAAAATCAAGACAAGGAATTTTAGATCCGTTTTCTATTTCAAGAGTAAAACTTTGTAGCTGAATGGCAGTTGTTGAATATTAGTAGTAACTGATTAAGACTGTGACCATCATCATAGATAATAAAGATGTCATCCACATGTCTAGCATACAACTGATAATTATCGGTAGTTGATTCGAGTGGGCCATTCTCGAGGTTTACCATGAAGCAGTCTGCTAGCAATGGGCCCAGTGGAGATCCAATTGCGATCCCGTCTTGTTGTCTGCAAATAACATCGCTGAATGTGAATTGTACAAGAAGTGTACATCTCAGTAGTGGTTCTTTCAAACAAGCTGTCGGTAATCAACTTTACGATAAGAAAATCCTTATATAATACATGTATTCGAAATAATAATCATGAACATATCGGTGGATGGTGACTAGCAGCGGAATCCAGGATGCTCATTTCGTCCTATTTGGGACTCTTTATCTGGATGTACCTGCATTCCGCAGTGAGTGATGATGTTCCCACCGAGGCTCAAACCTAGTGCCCATAGTTTCAAACGCCAAAGCGTCCTAAATAGGACGAAATGCGCACCCTGGATTCCACTGTTAGTCACCATTCTAACTACAAGCCCAAACATCGTCGAAGCATCCGCACAAGAAGCTGATATGTCAACCTGATACCGAGCACTTCGGTCCAATCAATCAACGGGAAAATCTAAAACTGAATTAAATAATCATGAACAGTAAGAACAATCTAAATATTACGTCAGAAAGAAAACAACCGAATGAACAATAAACATACTGTACAAAAACGTCGCCAGTTTCCTTCAATACTATCTGCTGAGGAAGAATTTAAAGTAACTGACTTTGAGGGAATTTCGTGCTTCTGAGATTGAGTTTCTTTGTTACAGTAATAAACGTGAAATCTATCAAGCTCACATGTTTCACTATTGGCATGGTGTTTTATACCCGTACGGCTCGTACAAGGACCTGTTGGTAATGACTTGCTACAACCTATGGGGATGTAGAAAAACAATCGTTTACTATCAGTGCAATAGTTATACAACGAAGTCAAATAGAAAAAAATATTGAAATCAGGATCTAGTCGACAGATTAGCCAATTGAATCTACGAGACTACAATGATGTTGACAATTAGTACGATTCAAAGTGAATTCATAATTAGGAATTGATTTTTTTTTCCTTCAAACAAGTCGAACAGCTTATCATGATATATATGATTGCATGGAGGATTTCATCATGAGCTGACATCAGTTAGAGAACCACTGGAAAACCTTCCAGGGAGTACTGGACGGCTGTTTCGTCCTAGTTTGTGACTCTTCAGTAGTACACATCCACCACCAGGGTTCGAGCCCAGGACCTTCTGGTTACAAGGCGAGCTTGTAGACCACTTAGCCACTGGGACCCGATCCAATGGTCATTAAATGCTAACTTCTGCCAATTCACGACATCGCGCAACCACTCACTTCGCAATGTCTTCTTCGATGAGCTACTGCCTCATCTTCAACCCGCTGTACCCTACTGGTCACGGCTCCACAGTAATAAAATGAGCACAAAAATTTTACAGGATGGTTTTTTTTTAATAACACTTATGTAATCTGAGTCATGTAACAACCACAAGTCAGCTATTTACGACGATGGAATTGTAGTATCTAACACCTTTTAGCACCCAACTGACTAATTTAGCAACGTAAAAGTTAGCTGCAGTTCAAAGTCAGAAGCACTAAGAAGGAGGACATGCAAAAGTATAGAAAAGAAACGCAATGAAACCACATTGAACGGAGACATACAGGGGAGAGATTGGTGAGGATTTTTACAATTTGGATTATTAAAAAAGTGGATATATATACACACCACTGTGAACTGTTTCGAGGCATATCACCAAAGTCACCGACTACTAATTTCTAACAGCCAGAAAACCAAATCCAAGTAATTTAAACCTTCTTGTATCCCTTAATACAACAGCTAACGACTTCAGAGATTGATGCCATGCCACCCGACCCCCGCCTAGATCTTATTCATATTGAATCAATTTCAACCAACGTTGCTCATTGAAGGAAATAGTGCATCAAAAGATGCCACACATATCCTAGCTAACTTAATCAATCGAGTTTTACAAACGTGTCTACCACCTTAACACTATAACCAGCCTCATATTATGACATACTACATATATGGTGAGAGCTGTCTGCTAGCCAAAATTTCTAGACAGCAATTTACGTCAATGTTTACGTCCCAAATCTTGGTCAAGAGAAAAACCAAGAGCAAAGCCTAACCTTAAGGAACTCAACAACCAATCACGGCAGACTTAGCGTGGTAGGATACAATTTGCAGATATATCACCTGACTGTCTAAGAAACGGCAACAAAGAGATGACAGAATAACCCTCAGCAGGAAAACAACCAATCAGAAGACGCTGCTTCTCGGCTTACAATAACGAATAATAATGTACATAAGAATCTATAAATATCTGTTGATTTTCTCAATAAACGATCTGTTTCCTGGCCCTTGTCTTCTGTCGTGATACATATCCTCATCTAACGCAAGGAACTAAACGAAGGCATCAATGCTCACAAACTACTAATCTTCGCATAAACGGTCAAGTTAAGCTTTAAGCACCACTAACAACCAATGGAGTGCGACGCACCAATGACGTTGAAACCCTCACTGAGCGAGTTAGTGAAATCTGGCAAGCAATGTTGTCACCATCAATAAAATATGCTCATTGAAGTGTTATGCTATTACATGGGATATCTGGCAAGTTGGGATTAGGTTAACCTTATAAAGGCGACATTAGGGTTGGTTCGAGTTAGATTACAGTTAGTTTAGGGATATTTTCACGTCAGGCTTATGTTCAGGAAAAATCAGGGTTATTATCAGGGTTAAAAGATCTAAATAATTACATGCATAGCATGTGGTTAAATTACTCTGTTGAAATAAGAATAGAATATGTGCACTGTGGTAGAGCATAACTCCACTGTGGGTAAAATTTATTTTGATAAAGGCTCACAGTGTTATACAGTAATATTTACTCATGACGTGTCGAGCACAATTTATCGCTGCTCAGTAAATATTACTGTATCACACTATGAAACTTTATCAAAGCAAATATTACCCACAATGGAATTACACTCTGTTGATATTCCAACCTAAAACTGACACATATTTTTATCGCATGTGAGAGAAAGGCACCCTCTGTAACACTTTTGTACACTTTTTATGCATTTTTTCATAAATATATGTATTCCATACATAAAAGTGCCTCCTTCATGTGATTGGTGCGTTCGAGGTCATTTGCTGATTGGTAGTTAGTGGTGCTTAAAGTTTAACTCTGCCGCATAAACTTCAACCTTTCGAGCCAAATCTCAGCAGTTACAGTGCAAAGAAGTGAACTTCTGCACAGCACACATATCCTTCTATGTTTTTAACTGGAAATCGCATCTGTGTCAAAAGTGACACAAGTCAAAAAAATATCAAAAGGGGCTTTATGTATTTGTGTTACGATTTCATCATTAGCCAGTACCATAGGAATGATACAACCTCTTTTTCGGTTTGGTTAACACCTTCAACAGTTTCATTAATAATTATTATTAAGCTGGAATTCAATGCAGACCACTACGTCATTCACATCTGATAGAGACCTTTATTATTGAAATGATTCAAAAACGTCTGAAATAACGTACCATCCCAAAAATATCGGAAAGCCCGGTTAAAATTATTATCTTCTATCTATCTCTCTTTCTTTAGTTTAACGTCAATCCATTTATGCTGTTTTCCTTTACATGTGGTTATTGAGATGATTTGATAATTTAAAATGGTGAACTTTTGTACAAAATCTACGTCAATCTGGCTGTAACTCCAGAGGAAACGTATTTATGTCAATGAGTTTCAAAAGAGAGAGAAATGCACCCTTCCAAGCCGTCACATTTCATATAGCACACAAAGGTAGAAAAAGTGAGAGAGAGAAAAAGAGATTCGAAACACCTATAATGAGCAGAAAGGTACGAGGAAAACAAAGTAGTATGGGAAAACATGAAGGTTTAACTGATTAGGGAGATCACCCAGAGTGAATGCATCTGATCCACCGAGAAAGCCTTTGTGACATATCACCAACAGTGTCAAACCATTGGTTGTTATTACCTCAAGGACCCCAGTGAGGCAGTGCTCACCTCCCTACGCAGTTGACTCAAACAGGACTGTCAAGGACTTGATAGACTGATGACAAGTTTTGGTTTGACCACGCCTAACTCTTTTCCAACCCAACCCCATGTCAGCTAAAACATACAGTATAGGACTGAAGTCGCAAATATTTCTCCTTATACCAAAAACTAAGCTTATCTCTCAGTGTAGATTACCACACTATCTAAAGAGATTCACATAGGTTACGCAATTAATTAAAGCATCTGTTCAATAATAGTAATGTGATAATCCACGATTTATAGATAAATAAAATTATTCACATATGCGACCACTACAAAGAGGATTACCTAAAAACCCTAAAAACAAAATCGTGATATATTCTATTGATCTCTTTGGAAAAAATGACCCCTAGAATTACGTGGACTTTGATTTCACATTATGGAGAGTAAATTTATCTTCATGTTTATTGCACATTTACTTTGAACAATATAAGTAGTATACTTTGAAATCGCTTCAAAAGTATATTATGAGAAAAGGGAATCTACAAAAATTTTATAACTCCAAATTATATTATACGATGTTGAAGTCATTGATTTTACTATCAAGCCTATTGGGACCACAGGTAGCTTTGAAATATCTCGTCTGACTTTTTATATCAAAAAGTGAAGGCATTACTCAACCCCTCCTCTTACAGTTTGTCATCTCTTCCACCTTACCTATTTTTCTTTACTATCCACCCTTATTCTTTCCTGAACTGCTTAAAAAGACTACGCCACACTTCGTAGGACTCTGAAGACTGTCAGTAGCGCGAGTGGTCTCCCATTTGGTCATATCATTGACATCGTCATTGATAAGCGCTGGATTTCATGCAACAAATCTGTTAAAGGAATTCTATCAAACTGTGAGCATCCACTTCACCCACAACTTTCACCTTCTGTCCCCTCACGTGAGACAAGAAATCATTTCAAAAGACTTTATGCACGCACGTATAGGTATAAAAATTCCACGGTACCATATTTGGCACATATTTCACGTGGTCACAAATAGACTAACTAACCTTCCTACGATTAATAAATAAACCATTTTATCCACTTCTATTCAACCAAGCTTTACTGTTATTATTATTCTTATATTTATAATCCTCTCATTTTCTTGTTTCCTTTATGTTCTCATAAGTGCAAATATCATTCATGCTCTGTAAAAACTGTTATTCTTTGTTTTCCCCTCACCATGCTATGTCAAGAGAACACTAGGCTCAATGCTCTATATCACGCTAAAATTTCCAAACTGTTTCGACAATACTATTTGAAACAAACTCACTGTTATTATTATCATTATTATTGTTTTTATTATTATTATTATATCTATTATTCCCATTTTGAACTTCAAGCATTTTTGACCTTATACCGTAAATGTGAACAAATTCCTTTGGTTAATTTTATTTGTATTTTGAGTAAATTAGATGCAATATTGTGACAAATGCTGAGAATTCCATGCTGTATTATAAATACAGTTGTTTGGAATAAAACATATCATTATTTTACCCTTTTTATTTTGTATATTATCAAAGCATCCATGAAAAATAAAATAACTCACTTGGTATGGGCAGATCCACTGTTTCGTAAGATGAAATTGAAACATGACTAGTATTATTAACAGACAATGACTGTGGATCATCTTTTGTTTGAGAGCTTATCAATTCACTGCATTTATGTACATGTTCTGATGTTTCAGAATTCCCTGAAAATGTACTATTCGGTAGTAGAGTTGCACAATCCATACAACAACGAAGTTCAACATGTAGACGCATATGTCGTTTTAGGATATTTACATCATCGCCAACATCTGAAATGTATGTTAAACACCTCTTTTTGTTGTTGCTGTTGTTTAAAAATCATTTTGAATAATGTAGCGAAATCATTTGTCTTAAATTCTAATGGAAATTGTTTTTATATCTAAAATTTGAATTCAATATGTATTATATTGTATCTATGCACTATTCAATTATAGGCAGGTAACACAAAAAGAGCGGTAACTAAGCTAATTAATTGAAAAAAGGTACATTTATAAATTGATTGAGTTATTGGGTAAGTAATTGAGTTAGTTTAAGCCACGTAGGAAGGTGTAAACTTCCTGACTGGTTGGGGTCCTCGGGACGGTAAACACCAATGGTTGGAAACAATCGGTGACATGGTTCAAAATCGTTCTCAGTGGCGTAGATGCATCCACTCCTTGTGACTTATAATTTACAGTGAAACTATGTTGACCTTCAATATTACTATTCCCTTTGTCTCACACCTCTGTTTACTGTCTCTATTATGCATTTCACCTACTTTCTTCTCTTGCTTTGTGTGCTACATGGAGTGTGGCGACTTGAACTGTTGCATTTCGGTGCAAAGTTCCATGTCGAAAACAGACAGATAGACACAAAGACAGATTAAACTTTTAAGTCTTATTCATCTGTCTGAAGAGTGCAAACAAACTCATTCATTAAATCTTACAAAAACCTTGACAACCCGTCAAATTTAATCTGATTTCTGTTTCGAGAAGACAGATAATTTAAATCTCTGATTTTCACTCCAACATTATACTCCCACATGGTTTCTTTCATATCAGTATTATTACTTCTCACTTTCATTTCTTTACATTGTTCTTGCTAATCCCAATTTAGTTATTATTATTATTATTCTTTCCTCTGGTGCCGAATGGAATATAGGGCTTCAGTGGCATATCACTATATTATCATCCGGTTTCCTGCAGTCCTTTATTGGATTGGTTCGACAATTATTAACAAGCCTTCGCTTCCTTCTCACACAATCACCCCCAAGTCATCCCTGGACCCACACCCAACTTGTCACTTCCAATCCGAGTTCCAATTGAGCACCTGGCGCATCATCATATCATTCAACAGTCTCCTAGGAAGTATTTCCAATCCATCTCCATTTTTTTATTTTATTTATTTATTTATTATAGCTTGATTCCACACCGTATTTTTGGTACAAGTATGGAATTTTCAGCATGTGATATCGGTAGCCCAATTTTGCAGGCCGACCATAGATATCGGGTGTCCGCCGGCAGGGGATCGAACCCCGGACCATGTGCATGGTCGGCGAGAGTCCGTTCCTCATATTCGTTGAGCAACAGGATCTTGGTTGGTTCGTTGTCAGAGTTCCTTGTTACTTACCTTTCCAGCCAACTATTTGATGTTCAGTACTGAGTGGAGGCAGCTGTTGATAAATATCTGATGCCTGTTAGAAATGCTTTTCATGACACCTATGTCATGTCTCTGAAGCACACAGAAACACTGACTCGAAATAAGTGTTGAAAATGAGAATCTTGTTCCTTATATGCTGAGTACAGTTGACCTCTACACTGATTTCTGATCAGCGAAAGTTATCAGTCTTACTTTTCTGATCCCACTTTTGAAGTCCTCATCTATAAAGTCTGTAGTTGAAAAGATGCTGCCTAGATAGGTAAAACAGTTGACCTCCTTTACATTTCACCCATTAATAGTGAGTGATTGGTGCTTGTTATTGTCGGTAAGGTATCTTCACCACCATAGTCTTTTCTATGTTCACTTGAAGTCCTGTTTTAGCTGCCTCTTCTGCCAACATTGTTAGTTTTCGCCTGTAGATCTTTGAGTTTGTGTGACATGAGACAGAAACCATCCGTGAAGTTCAAATCTTCTAGAGTCTTCTTGTAGGCCCAACGTATTCCCATCTTCTTGCTCTCCATGCAAAGCCTGTTGCATGATCCAGTCCACCACAATCAAAAATATTACTCTTGACAGTTGGAAGTTACACTTATTCACTCATTTATTAAACAAAAAATCTTCCATTTTTTAAGAACGATTCATCAATTTTTTTCTTAAATATTATGAGATCATTTATTTGTTATTATTATTGTTTTTTCTTTAGTTCCTAGGGGAACATAGGGCTTCAGTCGTGCGTCTCCATTGCATTCGGTTCCCTGCTAACGTCTTCACCCGGCTCCACGTCTGCCCACATGCTTTCATCTCCTCTTCACATCACCTCCTCCAAGTCACCCTCACCCTTGCACTGACTACCAACTCACCGCTTCCCATTTGGGTTCCACTCGAGGGCTAGTCTAGTGATGTCACTTGATGGATTCCTCAGAGTATGGCCAATCCATCTCCATTTCTTCCTGCCTATTCGTTGCACAATCGGTTCCTGCCGGGTTGGTTCGCTCTCAGAGATCCCTGTTGGTGATCTTTTCTAGCCGGCCATCTGATCTTGAGTAGTACTGAGCGAAGACAGCTGTTGATGAAGGTCTGTATTTTGTTCGAAGTGGCCTTCGTGACGCTCAGTGCAAGTCTCTGATCTGTACAGTAGCACTGACTTCACATTGGAGTTGAAAATCCGGATCTTGTTTTTCATGCTGAGTGCTGTTGACCTCCACACACACTTGAGAGAAATGAAAGCTTGCCTTACTTTCCCGATCCTCTCTTTGATATCCTCATCAGATCTGTTCGCCTGTAGTTGAAACGATGCTTCCCAGGTAGGTAAGTAGGTAGTTCAAAGAGGTTGCTTCTTTCAGATTTCTCCCATTTATGCTGATTGTTGTCTGTTGTTGTTGTTGCTGTTGCTGTTGGCCAGGAATCTTGATCACCTCTGTTTTCTCTATGTTCACCTGAAGTCCTATCTTCTCTGGATGCTTCTTCTGCCAACTTGTTGATTTTCACTGGGAAATCAAACATATGTCATCGGCGAAGTCCTGATCCTCCAAGTTTTTCGTGTGGGTCCATTTAATACCTGTTTCTAGCTGCCCGCTAACTGTCTGTCGCATTATCCAGTCTACCACAATCAGGAAAATCATTGGACGTAGTAGGCAGCCAGCTTGTCTTACTCCCACCTTCACTTTGAAGGATTCCGTGAGTTTCCCGTTGTGGATTACTTGGCATCCAGCATTGTCGTACAACTGTTGGATGAGATCTATAAGTTATACTTTATTATCAGCAGCATAGGTGTTATAATGTGCACATAAGTTGACATTTTGTTACATAGCAGAAATTTAAATCCAGCTAATATATATATATATTCTTTTACATTCCAAGCGGAACATCGAGTTTAAAGCTTCGGCTTTGAATTTTCAGGGGTAGGGGTGTTGTTTCTCCTACGTAGTGGGGTTGCCAGTCTCACCTCCAACTTTCCTCCCCTTTACGTAGCCTACTACCAACAAGCTAGGTGTGGTTTTAGGAGTGCATTGACTGAGAGTCGAACTTGGACAATGTGAGGCACGTTTGCAGAGCATTCTACATTCTTCAAATCAACCTTTACATAATATCTTTTAAGAATTACTCAAGGTATACATTTGCAATGTTCTAGAGTAGAAAGAAAAGTACAACATCTTTATTATCCACTAAACAACTTACTGATATTGTAAACAGCTGAACAAAATGGACAATACCAACAATTTTTATCTGCATCTTTGGCTTTCAACTTGAATTGTACACAAGAATCAGAAAAATAAGCTGTAGTGTACGGATCTATGTTCAGGTGAATTGATAAAATCCAATCTGGGGATGGAGACGATTCGAATCTGAAATACCATATGTACATTGAATTATATATCCGCATATATCATTAAAAGAATACAAATAAACAGTGATATATATATATATATATATATTAGTGATAATAGCTTGTATAGGCAAAACAAAACTGATGGAGGGATACTGTAACGAGAGAAGACAAGGGCCAGGCAACAGATCGTTTATTGAGGAAATCAACAGATATTTATAGATTTTTATGTACATTATTATTCGTTATTGTTAGCAGACAAATTGAGTCTTCTGATTAGTTGTTTTCTCGCTGAAAGTTAATCTATCATCTCTTTGTGGCCGTTCCTTTGAAGGTCAGATCGTCTACCTGCGAATTGTATCCGCCCACGTAAAGTCTTTGTTCTTGTTTTCCTTATGACCAAGATTTGGGACGTAAACATTGACGTAAATTCCTGTCTAGCAATTTTGGCTAGCAGACAGATCTCACCACAATACCACCAAGATATATGTTGACCGACACACAATACGAAAACACCACAAATACAACCCTAAATATAAGGAAGGCCGATTTCGAGGTAACTATTGATCACAACGCGTTATTACACTTGAAAACACCAAACATATACATATATATATGTCGGTGGCACAGAGGTTAAGACGCTTGCCGACAATGCACATGGTCCGGGATTCGATCCCAGGCCCACACACTCCTTTAAAGTCATCTATAAAAATGGTCAAGGGCGCTTATTGAAATACGCTGAAGCTACAGCTATTCATAAACTTAAGCTCCCCCCCCCCCCCGTGTATTCAAAAACAGTTTATTATTACTCTTAACCTACCTTGATAATCCTTATTTGATTGGACTACTGTTATGTACTCGTCGTTAATATGTTATGGGGTCGTTGCCGATATTAGGGCGTGACCGAGTGTAAATATACACTAATGAGATATAACGCACAATAACGTGCAGACTGGTATTGCTGAGTAGTTAATCTGTCCTGATGCGAAGAAGGAAATCAGAAGACCACCACGTTTACAATGATACGTGTATTTTCCACAAGGGAAACAACTGTCACACAAAGTGTGAGTGAATTAGAAACCCAAGTTTATAGAAAATCAACTCACACAGACCAAACACTGAATTACAACAGCAACAATCCAATAACACACAAAAGGAATTGCATACAAACACTATTCAAGAGGGCCAGGACTCATTGCAGCACTCCCATCTTAAGGAAAATTGAAGAAAGATATCTCATGGACGTCTTCCAAAAGAATAGATATCCATGGAATTTCATCAAAAGATATATATCCCCAACCTATCAAACCAAAAGCCCCCAAGGAAAGCACAAAGAAGGTCGCCCTGCCACATATAAAGGATATATCAGAAATCACTGCAAGACTCGTCAAACCTTTAGGAACTGACGTCTCACACAAACCAACAAAATCACTTCACTCAACTGGCTCTGTGTCGACCAAAAGACTCAACAACGAAAGAAGATAAAACCAACATCATCTACAAAATAAATTGTAACAAGTACGAAAAACACTACATTGGCCAAAGTGGACGTCCCCTTCGTCTTCGTATCCACGAACATAAGCTAGCCGTCAAAAGACATGACATCCACTCCCTCATATCACTACATACAGACAACCACGGACATCAATTTGACTGGGACAACGTTCAAATATTAGACAGAGGAAACAACAAGAATGCTAGAGAATTTTTAGAAGCTTGGCATTCCAGTGAATCATCAATCAAGAGACACATCGAGATTGACAAAATTTATCAACCGATAAGAAAGAAACCCCACACACACAAAGGGTTAAAGTTCAAGTCAAAGAAACAATCAGTTCCAATACTAGTAGCCTAGATGGTGTAAAAACACACAAAAACAACCAATCACGTCCAAGGTCACCGGGAGAGATGATCAATAAACTCGTGGAGAAATCTAAAAGCTCACTTCAAGAAATTGAAGTATGTGCTGAAGATGTCACCTAGTAGGGTGATGAAAGCTTCGCAAATTAACTATCCAGCTAGCTCAGAGAACACAACCACATCAAAAAGGTCATACATTGTGCATTTAGTTAATGGACAGACCCCAAGCATATTGTGAGTTATAATGGAATATCGATCAATATACACAGAGCAAAATATATCAGACTGTCAAAAACAAAGGCAGACATCATGTGACTACATATCAGCTACGAAACGTTGTGTTAATCATTCTTAAATCTGTTTTCTTTTTGTCACTTTGTTTAATTAAATTGCCCTTAATTTTTTCCATATATATCGACTTGACAAGTAAATGTGTGCGGGATGAGATTGTTCGAAATGTATAGCGCAAATATATTACATAACTTTTCAGATAATCTCCGTCTTCCAATAATGCTACACTACTCTTTTACGCCAATATCTTTAAAACCTATAAACTAAGTGCAATAACTTAAATCGTCAAAAAGAATATATAACGACGATATGATTAAAATAAAAACAAAAAACATTACAGCAATACCACCTACTCTTTATTGACTTCTTTCAATGGTTTCGTTTTACTGGAATCAACTTGAACTGAATCATTCTTCTGAAATTCATTCAACGATGATGATGTTGTCGGTTTTCCATGACTAATGGTTAACTGAACCAATGACCACTGACCACCTTCATGAGTAGTTAAAACAAACTGAGGTAGACTAGCACGACTTAATCGATTAGCTATTAAACGTTGCACCTTCAATGGAAGACTATGCAACAGTATAATCGGGAATGAAGAATAATCAAGAGAACATACACACTGGTGTGGTGTATCATTGTCTGTAAATAAACAAAAACAAAAAGGTTTTTCGATTACTACGTTACATTTACATAGTTACCTAAAACTCTTATTTTTGGGCAATATCTTGTCAAAAAGTTGCAAAAAACTATTGCAATTATTTGCCTTTCAAACACTGAATCTTGGATATAATACTTTTGATAGATAATACCTATAACTATCTATCTGCCACTCTGTGCTTGTTTAACACTAACTGATATATATAATTGTATATATTGATGGATTTACATGTTCAAGTTGGCTCAATTCAGTGAGTCTATGATTTTGGTATCATTTTGGTTAACTGTACTTGACTGTGATGTTATTATTGTTGTTGTCGCTTGTTGCCCTTCTTGTTGTGAATTATTTTCCAGTGCTGGTGTTGTTCTGATTGTTTTATTCCTTGTTTTCCTGGTTTTAAGGGGAGCAACCTACAAGGTCGCTTCTCTCTAAAATATATTTCCATGTAAAAATCCCCTCCTCAGGCGTGAGGCTAGCAACCCCCTTCCTGTAAACAAAGTTGTTACAGAAACTTCAGCACGATGAAGCTCCTTGCGCCAAAAGAAAAAGTTTGTGTAGGGACATGGAATGTCCGCACCATGTACGAGATTGGCAAAGCTTCTCAGATCGCAAACGAAATGAAAAGATACGGAATTCAAGTACTATGGATATGTGAAAGCAGATGGAACGGGAATGGACTCGCCAAATTGTCAACGGGTGAGTCCATGATCTACTCTGGTCACCTAGAGGATAACCACTCGCACACCGAGGGCGTAGCTATCATGATGTCACCGACGCCAACGAAGGCCCTGATGCAATGGGAGGTAATCTCGCCTAGGATAATGACCTCCAGATTCAACTCCAAAGGAAGGAAAGTGTCAGTTATACAATGCTCTGCACCCACAAACAACACAGACCTCGAAAAGAAAGAAGAATTCTACAGACAACTACAGGCAACAATGGACAATACTCCAGTCGGCGACATTAAAATACTAATTGGACACATGAACGCCAAACTGGGATCAGACCACACAGGAAGGGAATGAAAACGGAGAACTCTTCGTCGACTTCTGCGCCTTCAATGAACTAGTGATTGGTGGCAGCGTATACAAACACAAGGATATCCACAAGGCTACATGGGTTTCACCAGATGGGCGAATCAAAAACCAAATTGACTTCATCTCAATACTGCTCAAGGAAGTGGAGGCGCAGCCTACCGGACATAAAAGTAAGAAGAAGAGCAGACGTTGGCTCAGACCACTATCTCGTACAAGGGACAATCCAAATCAAATTAAAAGCTTTCAGGAGCTGCAGATAGACCACAAGCCAAGTTCAACACTCAAAAACTGAAGGACCAGGACACAAAGGACATCTTCACTGCAAGTATAAAAGACAAAGCCGAGACACAAATCAACACTAGCGAAGAGGTCAGCGTCGAAAAGCACTGGAACAACTTGAAAACAGTGTGGAGTCAAACCTGCATGGAACTTCTAGGCAAAAAGAGGAGACAGGACAAACAATGGCTCACTACAGACACTTGGGGACTAATAGAAGAGAGAGGGATGATGTTACAAAAGATTATCCAGTGCACCGACGAGCCAGAAAAACAGGATTTGAATGCAAACTACAAGACACTGAACAAAAGAGTAAAGAAGAGTGCCAGAGAAGACAAAAGAAAGTACTACGAAACCATGGCAAGTGAAGCAGAACATGCTGCAGGCAAAGGAGATCTCGCAACACTCTACCAAACAATTAGGTACCTATCGGGCAAACGTTTGACACAAATTAAGCCGGTGAAGGATGACAATGGAAAGTCAATCACCAAAGAAGTGGAACAAAGGAAACACTGGGCTGAACACTTCAAAAGACTCCTAAATCGACCACCACCTACAACGCGCCCAACAATACCAACAACGGAAGCAGAATTACCAGTGAACACCAACCCCCCGACGAAATCAGAAGTCCTAAAGGCAGTCAAGATGCTAAAAGCTGGAAAAGCAGCAGGACCAGATGGAATCCCAGCAGAAGCATTGAAAACGGACCCGGAGACAACAGCGGACTTGATGACGCCACTACTGGAGAAAGTGTGGAAAGAAGGCAAAGTACCTGAGGATTGGAAGAAAGGATACTTATTCAAACTACCAAAGAAAGAAGACTTAAGTCAATGCAAGAACTGGCGCGGAATCATGCTCCTGTCCATCCCAAGCAAAATACTAAGCCGCATCATCCTGGAGAGAATCAAACAAGTCCTGGATGAAAAACTTCGACCGGAGCAGGCTGGATTCCGGAGAGTTGATCGCCCCAGGATGACTTGGAGGAGGTCATGTGAAGAGGAGATGAAAACGTGTGGGCAGACATGGAGCCAGGTGAAGACTCTAGCAGAGAACCGAACGTCATGGAGACGCACGGCTGAAGCCCTATGTTCCTCTATGAATTAAAGGAAACAATAATAATAATAAATAATCAATATCAAACAGAGATTACTACCTTCAAGTGGACAAAGAGAGCTAGTCGTACTCATCCCAAGCTGAAGAACTATATGAAAGGACCATTACTACAACATGGATGTTTAATTCGACTCCTAAAAAGAAAACATTTTAAAAAAATAATTGAAGTCATCATAGCAATTAATACTAAGAGAAAATATGATTTCGTAGTTACGATGATTATTATTAACCTTAGTGTGATTGATATGCATGGTAATGGTAAGAAGATTTAACCACTGAAATGATTCGATAAAATTATATGAGTTCGAACCCCGGTGGGTACGTACTGTTGAAGAGTCCCGAACTAGGACGAAACAGCTGTGCAGTACTTCCAGGTTTTCCAATGGTTCTCTAACCAATGTTAGCTCATGATGAAATCCTCCATGCAATCAAACAAATCCCTACAAACCAATACTTGAAAATTATATGAGTTGGTGATTGAAGCACTCACAATTACTAAGTAGTATGACATATATGGCATTTGTTTCCGCATGATTAACTGGATATTATCACTGACTATCGCATACAATTTATGTATGACTCATAGTGTGGTAAACAAATCTGTAGTAGATACTTGAGTCAAGAGGAAATGAAAGCTTACGAAACAAATGTGGAGTCAGCTAGAAAATACTGCGGAGAACAAAGTGAAATACGGACACGCTGCTGATGTGATCCTTGTTTGAATGGGTATCCAGCAATAGAAGCTTGTTAGTTGACCATTCCAACCACGTAGCAGAATTTAATTAAATCCCTTGCTACCCGCATCTGTAATCCCGTTGTTCTAGAAACAGAATTGGATCTTTTGAGAGAAGTCTTCATCGAAAATGGATATCCATCAAGATTCATTGACAAAAATATCAAACTAAGAATTTGCAGCAATGAAACTTCACTTGCGCTGAAAAACAAACTTCACATGAACCTGGATTTCAAGGGAGATTTGTCTGTCTGTTTTCGACATAGAACTTTGCAGCGATGTGCAGCAGTTCAAGTCGCCTCACTCAATGTAGCACACAAAGAAAGAGAAGAAAGTAGAAGAAATGCATAGTATAGACAGTAAACAGAGGTGAGAGACAAAGGAATAGTAATAACGAAGAACAAAACAGTTTCATTGGAAGTCATAAGTCACAAGGAGTGGATGCATCTGCGCCACTGAGAACGATTTTGAGCTATGTCACCAATTGTTTCCAACCATTGGATTTTACCGTCCCAAGGACCCCAACCAGGAAGTCTACACCTTCCTACGTGGCTTAGACTAACTGTTGTGGATTTCATTGACTGATGAAGCCATGTTTTCATTTAACCGCCGCTAGCTATTTTCCAGCCTGACCCTATATCAGCTAACATTGCCCGTCAAGGGAGATTTAGCAAGCGATATTCTCAATAGTAGGATCACATCATCTCTGAGAATATTCTTTGCAGCAACGCTAAGAGTAGTGTTCTCCAGTCGCCCAATGATCTGCAGAAGCCTTAAGGACAAGATCCCATATTTGACCAATTCTATGTGCATATATGAGTTCACCTGCTGCTGTGTAGCCAGCTGGCTACGTCGGTCGTTCAACACGCATCCTGTCCAAGAGGACTAAAAAACACTATCCAGCATGGTTGCAAAAAGGCAATAGTGGTGCTATGAGGAGTGCGATAATTCAACACCTGGTTAACAATGTTCATTTCATCTCAACAAACACCCCCTGCTTCGAAGTAATCTACAGAGTCTAGAATAACCTACCAAAGGTAATACGGTTTCGTCTTCTTTGTTTCACTGAAGCTCTAGGCATTCACATAGAGAAACTAGAGCTGTGCATACAAAAGAGAATTACTCAACCACTTCTACTATCATGGTAACAACTTTGTTGATTTCTGATTACTTCATTTTCTTTGTGTGCCTGTTTCTTTAACTGCTTATAATTCTTGTATTCATTCAGAACTCTTACGTAATTTCGTATTCTGTACTTTGTTCCTGTGTGTATCCTGAGAAAAAATCACTCATCAAACTATCCATATTATTACGCAACTTCTTTTTTAACAACTGTTTGTGACAACTCATCACCTTTGTTACTACCCTATTTTGACTGTTTTTGTATTACGTAACTCCACAGAAAACTTTCTAATTCTACCCCCCACCTTTAGTTAACATAACCATAACCAAGTGTAGTTTTGTTTGACAAACTTAATGTACACATACAGACAAAATAACCCACATATATTTTGCGATTGTACAGCTAAGAAAATGAATTCGCCGAAAAGAGACTCTTCGCTGAACTACGTATTTTATTTTCATTAATGCCTGAATGGGGATTCATCCATGAATTAATAACGAATTATCATAGTATGTAATCTATTGACAAGCAACTTTTTACATCTGAATCACTTATTGGATGAGACTTTCTGCAACTGACATACTCCTAATGCTGATCCAAGTCAGTCAGCCATTCACGTATGAACTGTGGTCGCTAACTTTGATGATATGACACGGCTATGTACCGTAAGTTAGTACTTCTCAAAAACCACAGTACACACTTAACCACCGAACTAAGTACTACAATACTAGCTAGTTTTAGCAATTTAGGGACTGAATTGTTACCAAAGTACAGTTTTGTACATTCAGAGTATGCAGATTTATATTATCCTCCTACGTGTCAAATGTAACATGATGCTACAGGACTGGTCTGCATCAACCCCTAGTTTAGAAAGTGGTAGAGCGCGTTGACCACTTCACCTATCGAAGAATTCGCACCAGCCCTAAAGGACTGACGGAATCTTGACAAGGATACGAAACGTTCGAGTAACATTAGCCAACTTATGTCATCTCTGGGGTAGATGTGATATACGGCTATCGATCAAAAGACACGTGTACTATAAAGCAAGTAACTGTTATAATATAGTGAGGAATATTGAGCTTGTGAAGACACATGCTACGCATGCTAAGCCATCGCTTTCCTCGACGGACAATGTTGGTCGAAATACGACTAGGTTAGAAAACAGTTATGCGTGGTTGATTCAGAGCATTACATCAGTCCTCGAAGTCACTAACAGTTGGTTGGAGCCATGTGGGGGAGCTGTAGACTACTTGATTAAGGTCTCGGGGAAGCTAAGAACCAATAGCTCGAGACTGTTGGTGATATGGCTGAAAATTGTCCTCAATGACCCAGTTGCATTCATGCCTTGTTATCACCCATATCCATCAAAACCCTCATGTTTCTCCATGTCACTATTGTTTACTCTGAACATTTCTGCTCATTATGATTCTTCTGAATCTTCTTTTTTCTCTACATTTGTGTACTGTATGGAGTGTGGCAACTTGAACTGGGGCATTTCTGTGCGAAGTTCTATTTTGAAACTTAGTCAGTCAATCATAATCCGTAGAAAACCACTTCACCTATTTGGGAAATTGTATCAGCACCAACGGATTGATTGGTGACGAAATTTCAGCACGGATACAAAAAGCTCGGGCTGCTTTCGCTAACTTACATCATCTCTGGCATAGGCATGACATCCGGTTATCAACCAAGGGACGTGTGTACTGCTCAGCAGTTCGCTCCGTCCTTCTCTATGGCTCTGAAACATGGCCAATACCAGTTGCAGACATGAAAAGGTTGACTGCTTTTGACCACAGATGTTTATGATCTCTTTCTCGCGTTAGGTAGTATAATAAAGTAAGTAATATTGACGTTAGGCGTAAAGTGTTGGGCAAAGAGGGAAAATCAATCGAAGAGGCTATAAAGTCACATAGACTGAGATGGCTAGGTCACGTGCTGCGCATGCATAACCATCGCCTCCCCCACCCCGACGCGCATTACTAGCTGATATAGGTGCAGGTTGGAAAAAAGTAAGTGGTGGCCAAACAAAAACATGGCATCAATCCATGAAATCTTTGACAGTTAAACTGAGTCAGGTAGGGAGGGAGATGCAGACTTCCGGGTTGGGGCCTGCCCTCGGAACTCTAAGAATCAATGGCTGGAAACAATAGGTGACATGGCTCAAAATCGTTGTCAATGGCATACGTAGATGTATTCAGTCTCTGTAATCTTTCATATTCCTTTTTACTATTACTCATTCTGTTTCACTCTTATACTTATCAAAACTCTATTGATTCTCTTCACTCATTTTCTTGTCTGCCTTTGTGTGCTATTTGGAACGTGCAACTCGAACTGCTGCACTTCGGTGCCAAGTTCTATATTGAATCCAGCCAGCCAGCCAAATCACACAACGAAATTGGTTGCTTATGCGTTTAAATAAAATCGCTTGAAATTGTTGAGGTTCACGAATGTTGACAGTAATTATGGCACCAGGAAACTTGTGGTAATAATAATGTTGGAGGAAATGTGATTTCTGTCAAAACAGAAACCACTGTTCACAGTATAATCTAAGTGAATAAAAATATAGCATCTTAACTTCAACTGAGCTCAACTCAGTGTTACTCAACAATCACTTACAATTCCATGCAGTTGGAAATGATGAACCACACCTATTGTCTCAGGGCTGGTTACACACTACCTGGAGCTGCCTAAACCTCGGTGGTGCTCTGGAGCTGGATTCGAACCCGTGACCCACTAGTTGGAAGTCAAGCACCGACACCAACGAGCAACGGTTTCACGACATCTTAAGTAGTTAATACCCTCTGTGAGATTCGTCATGCATACACTGGACACTCCACACACTAGACACTTGATGCATACATACACATAAAAGAATATGACAACAAGCAATAAGGCTTTTTAATTTAACTAACTAGTGAAGTTTTTTAACAACAAAAATAGAAACGCATCATCTCAAAAGTCTGTATTTATTTATTTATTTATTTATTTTTAAATGTACAAATTAATAACACACAGAATAACCGCCCTGAGGATCAACAAGTAATTTCAAACTTTCCAGCCTACCAGCCATAGAAGAATTATTCAATTCATATAATAATCTTTTTTTACACTGAAATGATGAGATCTTACGATTCTGTGGACACTGAGAAGTGAGCTTTTTGAGCATTGAAAAAGTTAGAGTACCAAATGAGGTTTGGTTAGTATTATTATCATTATTATTATTATTATTATTAGGAGACTGATCTTTACACGGTATAGGAAGTGAATATCCAGTATTCATATCTATAATTCTGAGAAGATCCATTGTATTACACTCTGTAGATGCTTCATCAAAACTTGTGCACAATGAAATATCAGCAGGTTTCATGCGGTATACAAGCAATAAGTCAGGTTCTTCAGATGGGATAAAAGGTACCAGTACTGGTGAAGAGTTACTGTATATACATCTTTTTCCATCAGGCACACAAATGACAGGTATCTAAAAGGGAAAGAAATGTAAAAAGTTGAAAATTAAAGGAGACCGAAAACGTGTATACAGTTCAGTGACAGAACATCTGGTCAACTCAAGACATTCAGCGCCTTTCGAAAAATCATTCAAAGTAATATACAAAATTCAATCAAACCTATCAAAGGGAGTCAAATCAAGACATCTGGGCATAGCTGAGGCGCTAGCTATCCAAAAGCTCAAACCCACACTTTGTATCCAAAAGAATTACGTCCAACCCCTCTCCCTACCATGGCCATCATAAACAGGTAAAATTTTTTAGTAATGACAATCTCATCACCTTTCTTATCTAAACTTCCTGTTTATTCATGTTATTTTAAGTTTTCTTAATCCCTGTTTACACTACCATATTTTCATACCCACTCTTCCTGTTTATTTTGTCATTTTACTATTTCTACATATTTAATCCCTGATTGCATAAACAATTATTCATCATATTAGTTTTTTATCCAAACATCCTGTATATTTTGTTATTTCTACATTTCTAACCCCCAATTGCACAATGTCAATCTTCTTAGTTATTATAATGCTACTTTGTTTGAGTTTTATCCGTCCCCTGTTTATTATGGCATTCTAATTCCTAATTGTAATTTTTTATTAATTTGACCCTTAACCGGAAATTATTCTGGAACTTTCCCATCCATTTGATATAAATACACGAATGTACAGCCTAGATGATGACTTCGTCGAAAAGAAAATTTTCTTCGCTGCAATTGTCTTTTTAATAACTCCTATGACCCAATGTGTATATTCCGTGATTTGAAATTATTGTGTAGTAAAATCATTCAGTATCATTTTTTACTAATGAAATACAATTATTTTCCTCCAGTATTCACTGAAATTAAACTTGTCCTCATTCACACTACTAAATTGATACAAAATAATAACCAGAAATCGGTTAGTGGTTTGAACTGATTCGGCTCTCAGAGGCTCAGTTGAACCGGGTACACTGATGATGATGAGCTCGACACAAAAACAGAGAAACGGTCTTCCAGTGTTTGTGCGTCAGTGTCACAAAGGTAGAATAATGCTCGCCGACCACTCATATGCTCCAGGGTTCGACTCCCGGCCGGTGTACTCCTTTACCTCGCTAAGCCAGTAAGTAATAAGATTGGTAAAGAAGGAAGAAGGTTGGGCATGAGGCTGACAACCCCATCCTGCAAAAATGAACAACACACTGCTATAGAAACGTTAAGCCTCTGGATTGAAGCCCCATGTTCTACTGGGAACGTAAAGGATTTTAAAAAAGTGTTTAGATTACTTCAACCTGGCTGGTAAGCACCACTGGTTGATGTGAGTGGCATAGAACTACTCATCTCAGACAGTTAGTAGTATGTTGTTTCATGCATACTAAACTTTCCTAATGACATCACAATCTGTTTGTCTTTTAGTATGACTATTCTCCAAAATGAATTAATGATATGATTACTGTAAGTTCGAACAAAGAAAGAATGATAAATGTACATACAAGAATGACATAAGCTCATTTTCTATTATTTCGAGGATTCTTCTCAACTGACTACAATCTGAACAAAACAAAAATAAAAGAGTTAAGTCATGTACTCTAACATATCTTCCATTCTGTCTAGAAAATGTTACCATTTCATCTGAACATTACTCAACTTACTCCTATCTTATATAAACACAAATATTTGTGTAGTTACGTAACCTACTTTACTGATATACTCTTAGGCTTAGTTTCTACCCAAAATTTTTTAACTGTCTCTTTTAAAGAATTTTCTTATTATCCTATAAATAGTCAATTCTCTAAACTCTTCATATTTAAGGGTTTATTTGTAAGGAATGGATCTGTTTCAGGTTTGATAGCGGATTGATGTCAGTTAGGGAACCATTGACAACTACTAATGGGTACCGACTGGACAGCTATCTCGTTCCAGTTTAGAAATTTCCAACAGTTCACACCCACTACCACCCTACTAGGGATCGAACCACGGACCTTCAAGTTACGAAGCTAAACTCAGCCATTTGCACCGGCATTCAATGGCCCGTGAATTCTACTTTCTAACCATTTACAATCTGAAGGTACTGAGTTCCACACACCCTGGTGGGGTCATGGGTACGTACTGTTGAAGAGTCCCAGATTAGAATGAAAAAGCTGTCTGATACTCACTCCCTGGTTCTCAATGTTTCTCTAACTAATATCAACCTGTGATTAAACTTAAAAATATAAAGAATATACAAAAAATACCATTATTACAGAATATTACGGTTAATAAAATTCTTTTTTAAAAACTACTCACATCAAATACAACCTCTTCTAAATGTGCAATAATACGACCTGATAACTTTTCATTTGTTATACTACAATTAGAATTCTCATCACTTGTAACAGTTTGTACATTAGGTGCTATATATTCCTCCCATTCTGTAAGATCAAATGATGTGTGACATTGGCCAGATAGACGATGAACTAACAAGTCTTCAGGAGATGAACTTGTATCTTCACTATCTGGACTACTTAACATTGCTTCTGTATCATCATCTGAACTGGCATGTGAAGATAACGGAGAATTATTTATATTCCATTCACTGGCATACTCTTCAGAAGATTCATTTTGATAAACAGTATACGCAGTATTGGTTAGATTAGATGTATTATCCATTTTATTCTTATTTCGTGATACTAATGTCTAGACATTTAAAAACAAAAGAAAAGAAAACAACAATAGAAGTACACACAATATGAGTAAAGCCAACATAATCCGAAAATATCTACACTCAACTAACTGAGTTGCAATAGTAAGTAATTCATCATATCCTATCCAGAAGTAAGAGTACAGTTACATGACCAAGCTGAACTTTAAGCACCAGTGTTTTTGGTGTGGTTGTGTTCTCTGAGCTGGATGGTTTGGTTGCGAAGCTTTCATTGCTCTACTGAGCAACATCTTCAGCGCATACTTCGATGTGAAGTGAGCTTTTAGAATTCTCTATGAGTTTATTAGTCATCTCTTCTAGTAACCTTGAACGTGATTGGTTGTTTTCGCGTGACATTTCATCCCCTAGTTTGCTTGTCTCGGTGCTGGCTGCTTCTTTGGTCTGAATGTCGTTAGTCATTCCTTCTGCTAACCTTGAATGTGATTGGTTGTTTTTGTGTGACTTCTCACTTTCTAGTTCACTTGTTTTGGTGTTGACTGTTTCCTTGACCTGAAGTTTGACTTTGTTTTTGTGTGAATTTCTTCGTATGGATTGGTATATTTTGTCAATCTCTATGTGTCTATTGATTGCTGATTCATTTGAATACCAGGCCTCTAAGAATTCTCTGGCATTTTTGCAGTTCCCTTTGTCTAAGATTTGAACATTGTCCCAGTCGAATTGGTGCCCGTGGTTGTCTGCATGTAGTGATATGAGGGAGTGTATGTCGTGTCTTTTGACAGCTAGTTTGTGTTCGTGAATGCGAAGACGAAGAGGGCGTCCACTTTGACCAATGTAATGTTTGTCGCAGTCGTTGCAATTTATCTTGTAGATGACGTTAGTTTTGTCTTCTTTTGCCGTTGAGTCCTTTGGCTTACATAGGACTGAGTGTAGTGACTTTGTTGGTTTATGAGCGACATCGATTCCAAAAGGTTTGAATAGTCTTGCAGTGATTTCGGAGATATCTTTTATATATGGTAGGACGACTTTCTTTGTGTTTTCGCTGGTGGCCTTTGATTTGGTTGGTTGAGCTGGGGGTAGATGTCTTTTGATGAAGTTTCGTGGGTATCCATTCCTTTGGAAGACGTCCATAAGATGATTTTCTTCAATTTTCCTCAAGGCGGGAGTGCTGCAATGAGTCCTGGCTCTCTTGAACAATGTACGTATGCAGCTAATTTTGTGTGATGTTGGGTTGTTACTGTTGTAATTGAGTATTTGATCCGTGTGCGTTGGTTTTCTGTATACTTGGGTTTCTAATTTTCCTGTAGTTGTTCGTTTGATTAAGACGTCTAAGAATGGGATTTTGTTTTCATATTCTTCTTCTCTTGCGAAAACACAAAGAAAGTCGTCCTACCATATATAAAAGATATCTCCGAAATCACTGCAAGACTATTCAAACCTTTTGGAATCGATGTCACTCATAAACCAACAAAGTCACTACACTCAGTCCTATGTAAGCCAAAGGACTCAACGGCAAAAGAAGACAAAACTAACGTCATCTACAAGATAAATTGCAACGACTGCGACAAACATTACATTGGTCAAAGTGGACGCCCTCTTCGTCTTCGCATTCACGAACACAAACTAGCTGTCAAAAGACACGACATACACTCCCTCATATCACTACATGCAGACAACCACGGGCACCAATTCGACTGGGACAATGTTCAAATCTTAGACAAAGGGAACTGCAAAAATGCCAGAGAATTCTTAGAGGCCTGGTATTCAAATGAATCAGCAATCAATAGACACATAGAGATTGACAAAATATACCAATCCATACGAAGAAATTCACACAAAAACAAAGTCAAACTTCAGGTCAAGGAAACAGTCAACACCAAAACAAGTGAACTAGAAAGTGAGAAGTCACACAAAAACAACCAATCACATTCAAGGTTAGCAGAAGGAATGACTAACGACATTCAGACCAAAGAAGCAGCCAGCACCGAGACAAGCAAACTAGGGGATGAAATGTCACGCGAAAACAACCAATCACGTTCAAGGTTACTAGAAGAGATGACTAATAAACTCATAGAGAATTCTAAAAGCTCACTTCACATCGAAGTATGCGCTGAAGATGTTGCTCAGTAGAGCAATGAAAGCTTCGCAACCAAACCATCCAGCTCAGAGAACACAACCACAGCAAAATCATCCACCTGAGCTACAAATCTTCTCTATTATATCTAAGCACCAGTGTAAATACCAATGGAGTGAGACCGTCCCAGTGACCTTGAAACACTTTGTTTGGGTTTGAGAAAGATTAAGTTAAAGTTTAGGCTAAGGACAGGTTAGGGTTGGTTCGAGTTAGGGTTAGGGTCATTATATTATTATTATTATTATTGTCTCCTTTAATTTTTACAAGAACATAGGGCTTCAGCCGCACGTCTCCATTGCGTTCAGTTCTCTGTTAACGTTTTCACCCGGCTCCACGTCTGTCCACATGCTTTCATCTCCTCTTCACACAACCTCCTCTATGATACCCTCGCACTGACCACCAACTGACTCGCCACTTCCCATTTGGGTTCCCTTCAAGCAATAACCAGGCGTGTGATGTCACTTGGTGGTTTGTTTTCTCAGAGTATGGTCAATCCACCTCCATTTCTTCCTGTATATTTGTTGCACAATTGGTCCCTGCTGGGTTGGTTCGCTCCCAGAGATCCCTGTTGCTGATCTTTTCTGGCCGGCCGTCTGATCTTGAGTACTGAGAGGGGACAGCTGTTGATGAAAGTGGGTAGTTTGTTCGAAATGCCTTTCATGAGGCGTCAAGTCTCTGATACGTATAGTAGCACTGACTTCACATTGGAGTTGAAAATCCGGATCTTATTTTTAATGCTGAGTGTTGCTGACCTCCACCAAGACTTGAAAGAAATGAAAGCTTGCCTTGCTTTCCCGATCCTCTCTTTGAAATCCTCGTCAGCTCCGCCTGTAGTTGAAAGGATGCTTTCCAGGTGTGTGGTTATGTAAAGGAGGTTGCTTCTTTCAGATTGCTGTTGCTGTTGGCCAGGAATCTTCATCACTTCTGTTTTTTTTATGTTCACCTGAAGTCCTATCTTTGATGCTTCTTCTGCCAACTTGTTGCTTTTCACTTGTATATCTTCCAGTTTGTGGAAAATCAAGAGTTAGGGTTAGTTTAGGGATATTTCTACTTTAGGGTTAGGTTAAGGAAAGATAAGGTTTATTGTTAGGGTTAAAAGACTAGATAATTGCATGAAGAGAATGTCGTTAAACAACTCCATTGACACTGCAATCTAAAACTGAGAGGTACTTTTGTCACACGTCAGAGAAAGGTATCCTGTTTCATGTATACATCTTTTTTATACGTAAAACTCGCCTTTATCATATGACTGGTGAGTCAGGTGTGGTCATTTATCCATTGGTACTTACTGGTGCTTAAAGTTTAACTTTGCCAGTTATATTTCGTGGAGTTAAGCACTAAATTTACAGTTAGTAGGTTAGAAAATTCAATCGAGCTTTACTAACCTAATTTTAGGTAGACATGCAGCGCCTTCACTCCATACTTGCTGCCCGACAAGGATTAACAACAAGGAACTCTGACAGATAACGAACCAACCAAGAATCTATAGCCCAACAAATATGCCGAAGGAAATGGAGATGGATCGGAGACACGCTGAGGAGACCACTGAGTGATATGATGATCATATGCCAAACAAGCCCTTAAATGGAGTTCGGATGGCGAACAACGAGTTGGACGTTGCTCCGAAGATGACATGGAGGGAATCATGTGAGCAAGAGATGAAAGCTTATGAGCATCGTGGAGCCAGCTAAAGAGGACTGCAGAAAATAGAATGGAATGGAGATGTGCTCTGTTCAAGTTCACTCGGAACTCAAGGGAATAATAATATCTATTATTACTGACTATCTAAAAATAACTAACGTTGTTGGCAAGTTGTTTTGCCTATGCCAGATATTTGAGCAAGAAAGATTATATTGACAAATAGTATTCATTCTGAAAGTATACACTTTAACTGATTGATCACTTATATCTACATGTATACCATGAAGGTATTAAATATCTTAAGAATAAAAAAATGTTTTGATTTTATAACCAAAATCGAAGTTTACTTTTACATTCGTAACAAATAAAACTAACCAATGAAAGCACAAGATGTTATACTTTTGTTTGAATATAATTAGAGAAATCAGAACTTACCCAGTGTAAGTACGAAGCTCGAATATCTTGCAGCATTGCAAGATAAGTGAGTTGAATACATGATAAAAAGCATGGCCTGTCTGACAACAGTGATGGAACCCATACGTCTGGAAATATTCTACGTTTTGACTGGACACCATTAGCAAAATTGTTAGATGAACACTGATGACATATCTTTTCAGCACCATCTGGCTAAAAGATATAAAGGCAAAAAAGTATTCCGACAAAAAATGCACTTGTGAGTGTTGTGTTAGTTGCAGCTACTTATGCACATTAAGCTGCATGACTGTTACAGAGAAATTCTAATTCTATACATAAACAAAACGCCTACATCAATGCAAATATATATTACTTTCATTCCATTTAGCAAGAATAATGCCAGAAAACTAAACGACAGTTGCAGACCGATAGCCTTCGCAAATCCTTTAATACCAGTAATCATTTTACAATAGAACACCACAACGCTACATCATGCAGCAAAATATATTTAACTTTGATTATAACCATAGATATCCTATAAGTGCAATAAATTACTTAGCAGTTAGAATAGACAGTGTTTCTTTTACATAAGTACCTCTACAATTATGAACAATGAAAAAGTCACTGAAATGACACATGCATTCTGGACATTAACGTAAAATAAAACCATGATATACTGAATGACACAATTTAAGAACACAAATTCCAGAACACATTCGATAGTGGATGGAAATGATGAAAATTTTTATTTTCTTGACACGGTTAAGACCCTGCTGAAAACTCTGGTACATTTCTTGGTAATGCTGCGATACTTATTTTGTGTTCAGCTTAGAAATAAATCGTTTTCTCTGGAGAAAAAATTCCCACATTTAGTTATGGAGTCCTTGCTAATCCTATCTTTACAAAATTATGCTGGGATGTGCTGCTAGAAAAAGCAATAATATAAGTTTTCTATAGTTTGGTTTGTAAGGATTAGTTATGTTTTACGAGTTTATCACGGACTGATATCAGTTAGAGAACCATTGAAAACCAAGGAGTACTGGACAGCTGCTGTTTCATCCTAGTTTGGGAATCATCGGCAGTACGCACCCACTGGGATTCGAACCCAGGACCTTACGGTTACAAGGCAAGCTCGTATATTATTCAGCCACTGGGACCAGATTCAATGGCTCATGAATTCTAACTTCTTCCAATTCGTGATTTTAGCGCGACCCCAACTATTGTCGTTGGTGGGACATCCATCCACACACGTGACTTCTAATTGGACCTCACTGGTCACGACTTCTCACTAGTACTCCAGGAAGCTCCAACCTGTAGCAAGTCACTAGCGAGCATCAGAATAATTTTCTATAGTTTGGTTTGTAAGGATTAGTTATGTTTTACGAGTTGATCACGGACTGATATCAGTTAGAGAACCATTGAAAACCAAGGAGTACTGGACAGCTGCTGTTTCATCCCGCAGCCTCTAAACTAGTTTGGGTGCGTACTGCCGATGATTCCCAAACTAGGATGAAACAGCAGCTGTCCAGTACTCCTTGGTTTTCAATGGTTCTCTAACTGATATCAGTCCGTGATCAACTCGTAAAAAATAATATAAGTACTTACTTGCACACGTTCTGAGGTGATATAACCCAAGCGAAATTACACTGTTGAGCACCATGTAATTAAGAATTATTATTATTATAATGCACCTTTTTTCCTCAGACAATCCGCATTTGGAATTCAAAAAACATTTTCCCTAATCTCTAGTAAAAGTTTTAGTAAGAAACAATCTGATTCGTTGGAACAAGCAGCAAGGTGACACAAAAACAACCACTATGAAATGCACCTTAGATTAGCTCTGGAGATTTAACTGTGCCCATAAACGACCCAGTACAGAAGAGGGTGGGTACACTTTAGACTTCCTCTCGAAACACTCATGTGGCCAAGCATGCACAGCCTCTGTCAGGTGAATCCTATTCACTGCCTTGAAGCGGCGGGAGTATTCCTCACAAAAAAGAAAAGGTGCTCACAACCGGATTGATGGATATTCTTGTCTGTTTAAGGGGGCTGGAAAACCCTGATTCCAAACCAACAGTGTACATGGTCTTCAGAATCCAAACGAATCGAATGGCGTATGAACCTGTTTTGCTCATTGAAAACTATGAGAATGCAGCTCCTGACGCTGCTTCACCACCTTGCGGATCAGGCTTCAAGTCAAAAGCTCGTGGGGGTAGTCCTCTAAGGCAACCAACCGCTTAGATCTGGAAGCTCGAGCAGTGTTCCAGTCCTTACACAAACGATGAGTTTTGTGTGGCGCATCTCCAGGTACCCGTAATGTACCAGGTTTGTGTTTGCGATAAAAATAACAACAGATTTAACCACTGGTGACTATAAACAAATGTTGAGAATAGTCCATTGCCACTAATAAAAATACATAAAGATAAAGCATACACAAGGAGATAGAGGAGGAAAGAAAATACTTAAAAGGTCTCAGTAACAGAAAAATATTCGGAAGGACTATATTAAATGCAATGAAAAGCGTATTGTTACCAAGTAAACAAACATACTTACATGCATATTCGAATGATTATCCGGCCATGACAAGGAATCACTGACCAATAAAATATTGAGTGAATCATGTGAAAAAATGCATTTTGTAGAATCTTCAGCGGATGAGACTGAAAATGAGGTCACATGTTCCTTGTTACATTGCTGATCTTCTTCCGGCCACGAATAGCATGTTGAACAGTAGTTATGAGTAAGAAGTGGAGGCTTATAAACTAATGAAGAAGGATAATGTCCCAATGATGTGGACATACCCTATAAAGATAGAAAAGCAGAATGTGAGCATTTTCATAATTTACTAATCCACAGGAAAAAAATCACAATGTTAAGTACTATGTTGTTTTCTCATTAACAGATGTGCTGCTGCTGCTGAATTCAACATAGGACTTGGCACCGAAGTGCAGCAGTTCGAGTTGCCACGTTCCAAATAGCACACAAAGGTAGACAGGAAAATGAGAGAAGTGAATCAATAGAATTTAGATGAGTATAAGAGAGAAACAGAATGAGTAATGGTAGAAAGGAATATAAAGGTTAAAGAGACTGAATACATCTGCGCCATTGACAACGATTTTGAGCCATGTCACCTATTGTCTCCAGCCATTGATTCTTAGAGTCCCGAGGGCCCCAACCCGGAAGTCTGCATCTCCCTACCTGACTCAGTTTAACTGTCAGGGATTTCATGGATTGATGAGGCCATGTTTTTGTTTGGCCACCACTTACTCTTTTCCAATCTGCACCTATATCACCTAGTAATGCCCGTCGGGGGAGACGATGGTAAGGCATGCGCAGCACGTGAACTAACCTTCTCAATCTATGTAACTTCATAGCCTCTTCGAGTGATTTTCCCTCTTTTCCCAACACTCTACGCCTAATGTCAACATTACTTACCTGATTATACCACCTAACGCGAGAAAGAGATCGTAAACATCTGTGGTCAAAAACAGACAATCTCTTCATGTCTTCCGCTCTCAATGGCGACGTCTCACCGCCATAGAGAAGGACGGAGCGAACTGTTGAGCAGTACACACGTCCCTTGGTTGATAGCCGGATGTCACGCCTACGCCATTGACGGTGTAAGTTAGCGAAAGAAGCCCGAGCTTTCTGGATCCGTGCTGTGATTTCGTCACCAATCAATCCGTTGGTGCTGATACAATTTCCCAAATAGGTGAAGTGGTCAACATGTTCTATCACTTCACTCTCTATCACCAAGCTAGGAGTTGACGTAGTCCAGTCCTGTAGCAGCATCTTACATTTTACAGGGGCGAATCTCATGCCAAACATACGAAGATTGCTGCTCAAGGTTTTCAGAAGACTCTGCATTTTGTCAGCGTCCTCCCCTAACAGGACTATGTCGTCTGCGTATTCTAAGTCTACAAGACTATTCCCTGGTAACAAGTCGATTCCTAAGTCGTTAAGTTCAGTTAAGGAAACAAAAACACAGAAGACTAAATAAACTGTACAACCACTCCGTCTTTCACATAATTTGACAATATGAATAGTGCAACGGAATTTAAGAGTAAGGGACTGACAGTATCACATCTATCAGGGAAGAAAGGATAAGACGTTTAGGAGCAATAAGAAAACTCTCGAAGTACGCCTCACATTTTTGCTTTACAGAAAGCTAGATCACAGTTTATGCTTAAACGAAAACAAGATGCTTGTTACAGTTTAACTATTAAAACTACGTACATTTATGTGGCACTAAAAAGGTTAAAATTACCTTTGGAAGCTTACAAAGTGATGACTCATCAGGATTTATAGACTTTTCAAAGGAGCATGATATTACTTTAACTTGTGCATCCGGATTGGCCCAGGCGATCCGTAAATGCCCAGTATTCGCAGAAACACCGACCTGGATTTGTCCAATAGGCAAACCAGTTGAAGCAAAACAAGAGCCTTCATTATTGGATCGACAGGTTCCATCACGTGAACGGAAACATGGTGGTACAATATCTTGAGTATCACAAGATAAAAACTGAGGATTGTTCAAATCTCTGACGTTACTTCTGACTGAGGCAGAAGATTCTTGTGCGTGAGATAGATCAAGATTAAGAGGTAACACTCGTGAATGAATACTGCAGGTGGATCTAGAAGGTGGACTATCATGACTCGATGATGCTTCTAAACAAGAACTGCAATCCAAATCAGGTATAAGGCCAAATGCAGCAACGAATCCAGTGCCATCATCCTAAACATCAAGTGAGCGAAAATACAGCATTAAGAAAACTGCCCCATGGTCCTGTAAATTACTTAGGTGTTTCGTAAAATTTACATTCATTAGTATTTCAAACGATTTTTGTATTAAGTCAGTATACTATAAATTACATTATGAACCACCAATTTATTTTCATACTAATCCTAAATGCACCAGCTTTCTTCTAATGTAAATAAGAGACGTCATATTTGCAGCCTGAACAAAAACAGACAGCATATGATTCTGTAATAAGGAAATAGATTTAGAAACACAATACATAAGATTTCTGCTTATTGGGTACCTCGTGAACTCTAATCTTGGTGTTCGTACATTTCTACTGAAAACTCAAGTGATAATGAAAGTCTTTAATATTTGTAAATCACTCAGTAAATGTGACCATACTTTATATCATTAGAACGACACATTATAAGAACGTAACTCAGGTTCACATATACATATAATTATTTCAATATCTGTTAGCAAGTTAGAGAACAGTAAAACGGAAACACATAAATACTTTGCTCTGCACCACTGCAAGGAGTGACAGTATGGGATTTAGAATTCTTGTCGATTGTGTCATAGTATTAAAAACGAAACAGGCTACAACAGTAATACACTTTCAGTCAACACAAGTAGAACATCAAAATGAATTTTGGGATTTAACATATGAAATGCAACATAAAAAGGCACTTACATTGCATGCAAGTAGTAGAAACTCTTTCGGACTTGACAGTGACTGCACAAATCTAACACATGGAATACTGGGAAGGTTCGGATAGTAACAACTTCTTATAAATTTTCTTTCTGCGTACAAAGTAAGTGACATTCCACAACGTTGAGTACTAGCTGGTGGGAACAGCCAGAATCGCAAAATATGATGCTTGAAATCACTTTTGTATGATACCAAAAAGCACCCATCTGCTGAGAAACCGAGAAATATGTCGAATGTTGCACTCTGAGGCAAGATTTCACGCAGGTGATACGTCTTAAGTCCACAACTCAAATCGATTAATGGAGAGGAATAACATCGAGTAATCTCCCTCTTGTGAAGCCATTTGATCATTTCCCAACCTAAAATCGGCACACTAAGAGCTGCGAATATACTTATTCACTACACATATTTGAAAACGTGAAATCAGGTCTGAGAAAAGCTTTTATTGGAACTCATGTTACAAACGTACAGTGAAATATCACCAAAAACTAGAAATCAATACAACGCCCCTTATACTCCCAGTCACCGTAACGAGTTGGTTCAGGACCCCGAGGTCCCCCTATTTCGCCCGTTTCCTGATTTAAATCACTTGGTAAGTTTTGTTCAGTTTCACCAGAGGTAATTTTCTCAGACTCATCGGGTATTCCTAAACATATACAAAACAAAGGTCATCTTACCAACACCTGTGGTGCTCCGTGTACTGAAGTATTGATTGACGTGCAATGGTGTCATGTTAACCACAGATTTACGTACACATAAAACAGAAAATCGTTTGCAAAAGTTCATGATGATTTGACAAGACTTTTACTAGTAGATATCAAACGATAATATATTCCGTTTTTTGGCTGAAGTATTTCGGTTGTGAATAAGATGTTATGTTCTTCCAAACGCCCTAAAAATAAGCTTTTTTACAAAAATTAGGGTTATGCTTGAAGTGACCGCCAAGGTCAGCAACCTCACAATATCCAATATCGTTTTTACGAGCTAGTATAAACCAATTTGATTTCTTTGTGCTCGCCTCCTGATTGTGAGCTGTAGGTTCCTGATCTTCGGTAAACGTCTGCGTAGCTCGTCCCGCCACTCGACTGCCGCATCTTTGGTTGACTCCAAAAGGAGTAGTGCAGGGATTAATTATATGTGGTTTGTAGTATGAGGTGTGTTAAGACTGTTACTACTGTGAATGGAGTTGATCCTTTCACCAGTTGGTCCTTCGGTATCGTCTTCAATAGAAAAGAGATAATAATAATAATGATAATAATAATAATAGATATAATTAGTGAAGGTATTCAGACTAACAGACAGAAAAATAACAAGAAAACGTAACAACAGTCAGTCAACCGGTATATATATATATCAGTAATAATGATAATAATGATAATAATAGGTGTAGTTAAAGCTGTCAGGAGAGTAAGACGGAAGAGAATGTAAAGAAGTAAAACGACCAGTTTAATTGTCTACCTTTCAAAGGTGTATGCGATTTTAAGGGGATAGGCCATTTGGATGAAGTCCTTGTGTCGCTGCATGGTTGTCCAGCCTTCGCTTAAAGGTGTCCACAGATGGTGCCATGGCTACATCTGCCGGTAAGGAATTCCAGGGACGACAACCCCGCAGGGAAAAGAAGTGGCAAATAAAAATATTGTTCTTAACCCAATATCCAACGTGATTTCGCAAATAAATCGGAACCGAAATGAACTATCTGCTGGTCTTCAATGAGTATCTGCACGCTCAATCCCGCCACTAACCTGATTTCGGTTTATTAGACTCTGTGAACTGAGGAATGGATTTGACTTGGCACGAATCCTGTAATCTATTTCCAGATGCGACATTCTCGTGATCGAAGCCAGCCCCTTCACATGTTAGTCCTTTGATATGGTCAAAGAAAATGAGATTAATAATGAAAGAGATTTTGAGGATTATTAGTGAATATTAATGTATGCAAATTAGTGGACTCGAAAATGGAGAAAGGCATGGCTGAATGGAGGTTAAAGGCACTGGAATGTGAGTGGAAGTCGATAACCCGTCCTTAAGTGGCAGTTTTTATCTTGGATTTGTTGGTTACACAGTAAATTCAATGCATCGAGTGTTTTATTTGATAAGTGTTTCAAGTCACTAAATCTTCACATTGTTAAGATAAGAACGAGACGTATAGGCGAACGAAATCGTTTTCAATTAGATCTTCAGGCTTTATGCTTGTTTACACGGCTTCATATATAAAACATTTAACCAATGACGGGGAGGTTGTGGATCAAAAAATAATAATAGGTGTTAAATGTTTTGAATTTCAGTGATAACGAAGGTTATAATGATAACAAGGTTTATGCACGTGGCGATAAGAGTAACCAGGGTACACTCATGTGCATATAAAGGCAATTCAACAAATAAATTTAATTAAATGATGAAAGTTACGCAATACGAAAACTGAAGTGGCCTGCTTAAGCCCTGGGCTACCAAAACTTTTCCATCATTTAAATTGCAACTGATTACTTGGATTTATTTCGCTTTGATTATTCAATCATAAGTCTAAATCGTATAATTTACCCTCGTGATTATTTAAAAAATTTTTTGACCGGCTGATTCATAAGTTTCCAATTAAACCTAAGAAAAAGCATCATGATTGTGGTTTAAAGGCTGACGAATCAGCGTTCGCGAATTGTACGTAGTGTACTAACGCAAGATATTATACCAATAACTTCTATAGTATTCGTTTCTCGTAGACCAAAGGCAAAGCAAAACAACAGAATTGATTGTCCAAACTACGAGATATATTTCGGAGTTGATTGTTAAGCTGGCTAGTGATCATGCACGCACGTGACACGACGGAGTATCAAATGGCATGGATGCTTGACCGGAAGCCTTCAGCTAAACAAGTCGACTTAAACAGTGAGGGTCAGCAACCAATGTCCAGTGATGATTGCTGTGGTCAATAATTTTGGGGAATTATTTACCGCTACATCTCATTCCCCTACTAGTGGGGTTGTAAGGACATTAAGACAGAACCAGCAGGAAGTAAAACTCGATGGTTCCCTTAAAGGTGAAAAAACGCCTCCGAGCGGCTTGGTGGGTGCCTACTGGTCTGTCTGCCTATGCTAATATGATGTTTGAACATGGTTTCCTTGATGTTGTTCGTTGGATCTCGTGCTTCGTCTGTTTCTTGTCCAGTGCCCGTCGCACCTGGAAAAGGAAACAAGAATGCTATGAACCTTGTTGAGGAAAATGTACCAAATCAGCTTTTTTTTAAATGATGTTCATCTACGATAAAGTAAGATAATGAAAAGTTTAAAACATCGAAAAAAGTATTCATCTAATTTTTTAGTGCATGTATAATTTACGGTTATAGAAAAATTTTTACTTGGGTTTAGTGATGCTACATAAAAAAGTTGATGTGTCTGAAAGGAAGAAATAATGATTAATACCACAAACGAATGAGTTGGGTAAATCGCACCACTCAATTATGTGATATAGGTGTGAAGGTATTCTGGGAATCTTACGTGACGTCCAGAACGCGTTCTCTTAGAGTGCTCGACGGAAGGTTCGGTGGCTTTCGCCGTGTTAAGGAGTTCTTCGAGGACTAAAGGATATTCAATTACTTGTGGATTATCGGGTACGTTTAGCTCTATGCTAGTAGGATTACCTTCTAAGTAAGCCGGTTTTGAGACGATTAATGCTGGCGGTATCTACGCGGCCTTTTTCGTTTAATACAAAGAATTTATCCGTACGTTTAATTACTTTATATGGTCCGTCATAAGAGGGTTCTAGAGGGCGACGCACGACGAACAAATACGTGTGAAGAAATTTTTAAACAGAGGTGAACGAAGACATTAATAGACTGAAGTCGAAGGGGAGCAGGTTTAACTGAACGCATTGAGTTTTTAAGCCCGCTGATGTATGACGAGTGATCTACCGCTGGTGGGTAGCTCGAGGGAGAAACCTACTAACCTGGCAGTCGTAGTGACATACCATATATTAGCTCAGTGATAGTTCAACCAGAATCAGCTTTCAAAGCGTTTCGTATCCCTAGGAGAACTAAAGTAAGTGATTCAGTCCAATGTACACAGTTCGCAGCTGATAACAGCCTTCAAATGTCGGTGTGAGCCTTCTACCAAACGATAAGCTTGAGGATGGTAGGCTGTTTTTCTAAAATGCACATGACATGATTTTGGTCAGGGCGAAGATGCGTGCGACTATTTCAGCAGATACATCTTTGGCAGGCACTGCTTCAGGCCATCGTGCGAAACGATCGATGCAGGTTAAAATGTAGGTTTATCTGTGAGATTCTGGAACGGAGCTAACTAAATCTATATGCGCGTGTTCGAAACGGGTATCAAGGATAAGAAAGGTGCCAAGGGGGCTTTTGGGTGTGTCTCATCACCTTGCACTTTGGCAGGCTAAGCACGTGTGTGCTCATTCCCTTACTCCCTTATTAATAACAGGCCAACAAAACCGACTAAATACGGGCTTGACGGTGATTCGGATACCTGGGTGTGATAAGCCGTGCAACGTATTGAGGACGTTACGGCGATAACATTTAGGCACGATGGGACGAAATGTACTAGCGGAAATGCCTCAGAGAATAGTGTCTCTTCCCATACCTAAGGATTTCTCGGCTAATAGCAGTTTTGTTTTCGAAAACTTATGTTGAAGCTCAGTATCTTATTTTTGAAGATGAGCCAGTCTCATAGGGTCTATGCCACCAACTTTGGTGAAAGAACAAATGCGCGACAAGGCATCTGCCACAGTGTTGTTCACTCCGGATATATAGCGAATATCCGATGTAAACTGTGAAACGTAATCCAGTTGTCGTGATTCTCTAGGTGAATACTTATCTGAAGTTGAGTTCAGGCAGTACGTCACAGTTTTGTGGTCAGTGAAAATTATAAATACACGACTCTCCACCCAATGTCGAAAATGGCGTATAGCACAGTACATAACCAGAAGTTCTCTTCCGAATGTGCTGTACTTCGTTTATTCTAATTGTAGGCGCCTTGAGAAAAAGGCGAGTGGTTGCCACTCTCTGTTGACTAGTTAATAATAATAATTTATATTTTCATATAAACATAAATTTACATGAAAATGCATGCCATTTTTACAGGCACGATCAAGTATGATACAATGTCAAATAGTAGATTGTCTACAAGTTAGTAATGTTTGAACAGCTAAATATTTGATATATGTATAAATAAACTCTTTGTCTGACCCATGTCGTATCATTATTGAATTAAACAGTAGTCCTCCAGGTTGCGCAGGAAAATCGACTTCGTATCGTTTTCAACCCGTAGTTGTAGGCATACGATAACCAACCAATATTGAGGTAAGTACAACGTTTACAAGGGATAGTAAGCTGTTTTAGAAAAGTAAAGGTGCTAAGGTGAATCATTAGTGTAGTGAAATAGGTAAATGCAATGTATCATTATTATATGCATTCATAAAGGAAATACAATGGGAGACTATAAACCCTAGGCTGACAAAGTTCCTTTGCAATATATAATGCTACCCTATAGGTCTTATTATCATGATGTCCACTTTCGGTTTAATACAATTATCCACAAGCCGGTTGTTTTAATTTCATACCTTTTTGTGTTTGGTGCACAACCGTACCCTATAGAGAATAGGAATAAAATAAGTCGAATCAAATTCATAAAGAGCTATAAAATGTTAGGTTTAGTGGAATATAATGAGCAAATGAAGACGTTATTAGAAAATGAATGAGATGAGACATTGTTAAGTGATATTCGAAGGTGCGACAAAGGAAAGCATGTTAATTTATAAGATGCCCCATAAATCTGTGCAGAGCCCACGTGGTCGCATCTCAGCAATAGGCTGACCGAATGGTATATGTTTAAAGGTAGATGCATGATCTGTCCAGGCGATCATTAAGCTCAATAATTGAGTGTTATAAGGGAAACAAGCCTGGTGAAGCAAAAGAACATTTGCTGTATAAATATTTTTAGCACT